TTTCACCAACGCAGCAAGACGCGACGGCGCGAACATTCTATGGCTTCTCGATTTTGATTGGCTGCTTAAATCGTACGACTGTTTGATTTTCACTTTTCATTGGTTTATTTCAGCGGGCTAAAATACATTTTAGCCCGCCAAATTCTCCATTTTTAGCCCGAAAAATGCGCCACAATGCTCGACAAAGTGATAATAATGGGGATTAGTTGCTATAATCAACGCCCAAAACAGGTATCTCTCTTTCACTTTCCTATTTAAACTGACGGTTTCGTCCTGTGATGGTTCGATAAAAGTGGACATGAACTTTTTCCCACGGCGACAACGACGAAAAATTCATCCTTGCTTGTTATTCAAACGGAAAAGTTCAAATAATGATGACTTTCACAGGAGACGGAACACTAACAGTAATGTGAGTGAAAATCAAAACTTAGATGACATCCGCAAGAAAAAAATAAATAAATGGGAGTAACTTGATATTTCTTGAGCAGATCTAAGAAAGCAGAGCTTTGGCGAGAGCAAATGCGGCAGCCATCTCAAAAAAGCGAAAAAAAGATTCTACACCTGAAGAAATGCCGATCGAAGGCAGAACCTTGAGCACGCCTTTAATCAGCGGCGAGATGCTGTTCGCAAAGAAATTGAAAGAACTTGGTTTGTTGAAGGAGCATCGCTGCAAATACATCGACGGAATTTAAAATTCACTCATGAACTCCGCAAACGCTGACTTATTTTGGCATAAAAAGAAATCAACGTGGAAAATTTGCCGATTTTGATCTTAATGCGAGAAATCAATGAGGACAACTTTTTCGTGTCATATTCCTTCGCGTACTTTTTCTTTTCTTTTCGGAGTGAGGACAGAAAGAAGAAAGACTGAGAGACTGAAACTACGCATGATAAATAATCTTTTTGCCTAATGGCTGATGGTCAGTGTGTGTTAAAAGCATCTGTTTGCACACAGTTATACAGATCATTACATAATCAGCCAAAACATAGAAAAGCAGTACAGTGGAACCCAATGGATTCTTAACGACTCAGCCATGTTTCTAATATTTAAGGTGTATTTAAGGTGATTTTATTTTTCATATCTGTTGTTGTTTTTTTTTCTTTTTAATACAAATCAAAAGCGTTTTGATACATTTAGTTAGATATTATCGCCAAAAAACAGTGTGGACTCCAGGGTGACATAATAGTAGCTTAGGCCCGGTTCAGACGCCGAACTTTTCATGAGCCGAGCCTAATTCGAATTAAGGCCGACCCAAATTATTTAGACCGGCAAAAGTGATTCAGACGCCGATCTTAATTCCAGCCGAACTAAATTCAGAAGGCGAAAAATGCGCATTTCGGTCAAACTGCTTACAAAATACGTTGTAAGAATTTCTGCATTTGGTTCGGTACATGAAAAGTTCGGCGTCTGAATCAAAGGCGTTCCTCAGTCGATCCAAAGGCGAAATTCCCGGCCGGGCTAGGCGAAAAGAACGGCTGAGCCGTTCCAAATTGAAACAGGCGTTCCTAATTGATTCAGACGCCGAACTTTTCATGTACTTAATTCAATGTATTAGGTTCGGCTCATGAAAAGTACGGCGTCTGAACCGGGCCTTACATGCAGGGGGTGGACGGTTGGTTAGTCCTACGCACCCCGACGTCATAACCAAAACTTCTTCCATCGTTTCCTTTGTTACAATTTGCCTCGTGTTGCCCATGACCAGCGATTAAAAAGAGTCCATTCGAAACGTGAAGGAGTTATAAACATAATAGGACTCAATTTAAACATTTACACTGCATTTACAGCCTTACAGTAAATTATTCAGTTGTGGTAATTCCCTTGCTTGGTGCCTGCACGGCATCTCTCGGGCACATATGCAAATATGCATTTCCGCGCGGAATAATGAGGCCTCTCGGGAAAAGGCAGGTGACTGATACCCACGTGAAATGACTAAGATTATCCTGCGAGGAGAGGTTTCTCTCTTGCACGTCTTTTAGCGTTTAAGAAGTCGTTCGCGTCGCTTCAGTCAGTGGCGAGAAACCTCCTGGGGCGTAAATAAACCAACTACGCGACAAACAAGTCACGCGAACGACTTCGTAAAGGCTAAAAGCCGTATATGCAAGAGAGAAACCGCTACGAATTTCAGTAAACGACGAGGTACGCAAGAGTTTAAAGGCCGTCATACAACGCCAATCAACTACAATCTTTATTTACATGCAGGTTTGATAATTTTTTTTATGATAGCTAATGGTAAAGCGAAGTCAAATGAAGTTATATACAGAATATCATTATCATTAATTAAGGGATTGAACAAACGTTTTCGTGTTAGCTCTAATTCATTAAATGATATTTCTTACATTTTGCCAATGCCACTTGCATACAACAGAGAAGACAATAAATGCACACACGTACACACACAATACACTACTTGAGGAAGAACAAATATGAGCAGTCACTTTCAAATACTATTGCTGTAGCAGGTATTGTTTTCCCGCCCCGTCCACACAAACCCTCCGGGTATTTAGCCTGGAATCAGCATATTTGACACAAATAGGCTACGGATTGAATGAGCTGCCTCCCTTGTTTCGTGTGTAAGGAAGGCCGATACTAGCCTGCGTAGCAGGCGCTTGGAAGTAGTGGGCACGAGAAAAAACGGGCGCGCGCACTTGCCCGCACCTGTTCTCTCTTTCGCCCACTACTTCCAAGCGCCTGCTACGCAGGCTAGGCCGATACGTGATATTTGGTTTTAAAAATACCTCCGCGGGTTTGTGTGGACAAGGCCTTAGTAACCGTCGGGAAAAATAAATTTAATCTACTGCACAGGCGTTACTTTTTCGCGTTTCTCAGGCGAGCGAGGAGCGCCAGATCAAGACAGCAGTTTTCCGCATTTTTTTTGTGCGCCTTCCCCCGTCGCGCTTGTCTCCCGCTCCGCGCTCGCTTTGCGTTTCCCTTCACTCGCCTGAAAATCGCGAACAAATAAGGCCTGTTCTACAGGCTAGGAGAATTTGGAAGGTCGTTTGAATGACGGGAAAACCTTTCCAGAGGTCCAGACAGCTGTAGATGGCATTTACTCAGCGGTTAATCCCAGGGTAGCTTATGTTTGATTCGTCAAAGACGATCATCATTTCAAAGTTTACTTTCTAAGACTTACAATCACAGCGTACTAAATACACAAAAAAAATAATCTACACCATGGTAGTAAACGAACTGTCCTTATAAGCATCTAAACACTATCTGAATTGGTGCTAAAAGTATCGCTATTGATATCTAAAACCTAGGAAATATTTGGGAAAAAAATAACCTTCACCTATATACGTACACAAATGATCCTTTAAATGAAATTAAGTGCCTGTATTCTATATTCTGCATAATACCGAGAGAAAACTAAGGCTGCTGTGTGAGTAGACACTCGGTGTTTCTGACTGCTTATTAGGTTAATAACGCAGCGCCCTTCATTTCACACAGAATGACTGGCAGATCATCGTATTTACTTACAAGGTCTACAGTACGCAATTTTTTTTTACCTATGCCTTATGTTCTGAGCCATTTGGAAGACCCATAATTAACAATTAATGAATGAGGCTGAATATCTTATGAAGAATTATGGAGATCGAGGAGGGTGTTATCTTTCGAGGCCGTAGGCCGAGGCGGATAACACCCTCCGAGATCTCCATAAATCTTCATATGATACGAAAACCAAATTCAATAATTGTTTTATCATTCATTCAAAATAATTCCCAGTTTAAAAACATGGCTAAAACATGCTTTTTTCTTTATTTCTTAAAATTCCGCCTAGTATTTAAATTGACCATGGGGGGAAATCTCTATTCCTCATAAGCTCGGCTTCTCGGAGATTTCCCCGCCACAGTCACTCCTCCCAAGAAATGTACAAATTTTAAATTTAATGTTAATTAACCTATTTATTATCGTTTTTATTCTGCTTGTAATTCATTGTGTGTGGAAATAAAATAAAATAAAATAAAGCTTACCTCCATCGATCCATCGATGTTAAGTTCATCTTCGATAGTGCACGTTTAGGTTTGTCCAGCTCCGAAAATATTCTCCAAATAGCAGATGTCGACCTTCGAGTTGTCTTCTCGGCTGTTCTTGCCATGTTTTTAGCTATTTTTTCGCCTAGTTCTTACCCTTGAAACGAGTGAAATGGGCGCCATTTTTCAAGTTCACAACCAAAACAACTCAACCTCGTCCCCAGGTCTTCTCGGTTAACGGTGCCTTAACCTGCAAGAACGCTGCATTTTTGACGTCATTTCCTCGTTAAACACAAAATTCTTCCAGATTTGGTCATCAGAAACTGGTTATGGTGAATTATGCGTGTGCTTTTAGCCAATCAGAATCGGGGAAATATTTTGAATGAATAATAACACTGGTTATACGTCGAGAATTCTTCGTCGCGTTAATCGTACTCACATACTTAAGCGACCTTTGACTAAGGCCTCCTTTATATGGATAAAACTTGCCCCGGGTAGAAGGGGTCACTCGTGAACCGTTGACATGATAAACAGAAAGTTGGCTCGGCTAAAGAGGTGACCCGCCCAGCAAAAGTTGGCTCGGCTAGAAGGGTGACCCGCCCAGCAAATGTTGGCTTGGCTAGAAGGGTGATCCGCCCAGCAAAAGTTGGGCTATAGCTGTAGGAAACATAGCCTGCGGACACAGACATATTTCCGGTCGTCGCTTCTCTCCACCCGAACCGTGACATGGGATTCAACCAAATAAAAGTTAAAGTTTTGTGTAATAAAGTTGAATTACTCGCAAAGTAGTATTTTTTTTCTGTTCTGTTCCTTACATTTTTGGTATAAAAGCCTGGAAAACCACTTTTTTACATTTAAAACTCCATCCGGCGGTGTTCGTTAAGTCTTGCTTACCAGGCCTTCTCTTCGAATCCTGAGGGGTGGACGCTAAGCGCGCGGTGTATTCTACTAAAACACCACGCTTAGCGTCGGCACCACAGAATTTGAAGAGAAGGCTTGGTAACCAAGACTAAACGAATACCGAAAAACTTCCTCAATGTCAGTAATTTAACTTTATTGTACAAAAATTAACTTTTACTTGGTCGAAATACATGTCGCCTGTAGCCGATGGCAACAAAACGTCTGCGCTAAATCCGTCCGCCCTACGGTTGAATAGCAAAGGGCACGATACAAAACTCCGTAAGTTGCATCTGTGCCTTTCCGCCACTTCCACTTTATCAACATTTTAATCTTCTTTTCGGACCATTCTTCGTTGTTTTTATGGACAGCAATCAGTTCCGCTTCCTTAAAACCAAGTTGACGCCCCAAGGGTTTCCACGTTTCGAGTTCCCCTGATAGAAGCTCTAGCTCCTGATAAGTTGGCTGAACCTCTTTAATGTTATCTACAAAAAGAAAGCAACTGCCGTCTGTTTTGAGGAGAAGCAATTGGAAAGGTTGGTAGTTAGCTTAAAATTTCAAGTTATCAACATATTACCCGATTATCTAGTACCCAGCATGGCTTTAATTGCAAGAATTGCACGCAAAGTAGATAAATAAATAAAAAATAAATAAACAAAGTTTAAAGAAACTAAATTTTCACTGAAACAAATAATTAATTAATCCGTCTGACCGGGATTTTTTTTCTTCCTGCAACAGGGGGAAAGGGGGCTCGGAGTCCCCCCTTTTATAACTTCAAAATTGCCCATGATACGGCCACCAAAATTACGAAGAATAATGTAAATCACGTAAATCTTTTCCTTGCTTTAATTCAATTCTATTTCTACGTAAGGGATTTTTACTGCAGATCCAACGGACGGAACTTGGAAATGGGTTTTGTGAGCTGGTTTTTCCCCACTTGAACTCTTGCCACCAGTACATGGCCATCTTTCCCTTGATACAACACGACGATTCTCCCAAGAGGCCAATTTTCACGAGGTCCGTTGGGCGATATGACTAACACAACGTGCCCCGTTTGGAGGTCTCGTTCTTCTTTCAGCCATTTCCTTTTCATGTTAAAACGTGGGATCCATTCTTTGGGCCAACGATGCCAAAAGTGTCTAACTAGTTGCGGCACCCTTCTTTTCTTTAGACTATAGCTGGTCTCGTCAACGGATTCTGGGGCGAATTGGCCAACAACTTCACCAATCAGAAAGTGGTTCGGTGTCAATGGTACATCATCTTCAGGATTCGCTGATTGGTACATGAGGGTTCTCGAATTTTAACAATGCTTGTGTTCCTGTCAATGCTGTTCCTAACTCTTTATCTGTCACATCTGCATTGCCTAAAATAGCATTCACAGCCCGCTTTGCAGCTTTAATCATAGTCTCGTGTACCTCTCCAAAATGGGGCGCTAGTGGAGGATTGAAGTGCCATATGACTCCTTTGGTTGCTGTTGGCTGTTTTTTTGTTTTTGCTCTTTTTTTTCGGATCCAGTGCTTCGCCCAGTTCTCGAAATTCTCTCTCGGCCGCAACAAAATTCGTACCATGGTCAGATAACATCTCTCTTGGTAGTCCTCTCCATTCTATAGTAGACTCTCAGGAATGAATCAGTGTAAAGTCCAAAGGCCATCTCAAGGTGAACCGCTTTCGTGGCCAGGTACGTAAACAAACATAAGTACCGCTCTTGCCTGCGCGATCCTCTTCCTTGAATTGCGAGGAAAGGTCCCCCCAAATCTACCGTTATTTGCGCAAAGGTTCTTAAGTCTGATTTGTGGAAGAGGCGCCATAATATGCTTAGAAGTTCTGCCTGAGAAGCTTTTTTGGTCTTGGCAACTCCTCCTCCTCTTCTTCAAAAATTGGCTTCGAGGTAGGTACCGGGTGGATGTACGTGGCGTGTGGCGTGCGCGAATTACCCGTGGCTACTGGTGGATGGTAGGAGATTTCGGCGGAGAGGACTGGCGCGTAGCCACTTTTGGGTACGTCGCCTCAGCACCGCCATTATCGAGCATGATAGTGAAAGTTTAGCGCTAAAAAGCACTTCGGGACTGTGACTTCACGGCAATCAAATGTCGGAAAAAGTTAGACCAACTATTCATCGCGTAAACTGGGAAGTTGGAATCACAATGCGATCCTTTTTCGTCGCTGTTTGTTCGATTCTAACTAACTTCGCCGACTTTCCTTAATTCTTTCCAACCTTCAGATATTGTATGCACTTGGTAAGAGTGTGAAAAGTATAACAACAAATACAGAACTCAAAGGGCCAAAACGGAGGAAAAACGACTTTGAGAGGTATTATAACACTTTCTTTTAAACTTTATTTGTACTTTTTAAATGAAAGATCACTACTTCCTTGCAAAGTTCTGTTAGGGTTATTCAATACAAACGCCATTATTCAATTTCTAGTACCCAGATTCCCAACTCGCACAATACGTTTGGGTCACCAGAGTGTGTTGTAACGATGCTATTTTGCAAGGACAATCTCTTTCACCAATTTCGCGCGCTTGAGAATATGCGCAGACTCCCCACGAAATCGCAGATCACCCAACGACTCACTTTGGGAGCGTCTCCTTCGACGACGCAATAAATAAGGTTTTATCAAATAAAATTTTAGTTGAAATAATTAATAACTAATTCATTTTTAAGGTTTTATCAGAAATACCTGGAAGACTTTGCGCCCCAACAGATGATGTGAAAGGACATTCCTGCAAGATAATAACCAAATTAGGACGTTACTTTAATTTCAAAATCACTGTTACTAAAGGTACTCTAGGATAGTGCTTTATAAGCATTATACAAGTTTTGGCAAACAACACAGAATTGCGCAACAGATTGTTTTGTGATCATTAATATGTCACATAAGTCAAATATGGAGTATAAAAGGATGGGGGGGGGGGGGTTATACCATGAGGCGGAGCCTCTCTGTATAAAACTTTGTAAAGTACCCTCCCCCAGAAAGTGGATTTAAAGTGAATAGTGTAACTATTCATAAAGGCCAAAGAAATTCTGGTTTAACCTGTCAACCTAACCCGAAAACGAATTTTACCCGAAATAGCGCCCGTTCTCACACTTCTTTGTAACCAGTTTTGAAACCAAACCTGTCTGAGAGAAAGGACTTTGGGGATGATGTGTCCTTTATGGAAAAAATAAATCTTTCAAAGGCATCAGTGAGACCATCAAATAGTACAGAGAAGTGACTGATACTTTACGTGTGGGGGGCATATTATTCCTTACCCATATATTAATCCTTGCGACTTATTAATCAATTGACTAATTGCGGGCGACAAGAGGAGCCCGCAATCCTAATCGCCAGGTTGTTATTACGCATGCGTCGCATGTATGCAGCCAGCATTCGTTTGGACTTCCACTAGGAATGAATGGAATGCACAAAACGCAATGTGATCACGCGCGTTTGGACATTTTATCACTCATAATCTGATCACGCGTGGTTTGATCATTTGTCGCGTGAAACTTACGCAAATGACAGAGTTGGAGCAAAATCATTTAGACCTTTGGCCCTAGTTGTTCAAAAGGTGGATAACGCTATCCATCGGATAAATCTCCATCCACTTGATAGCACAATTGGTTTTCCTAATACTTATCCGTTGGATAGTGATTTATCTGGTAGATAGCGCTATCCATCTTTTGAACAACCGGGGCCTGATCGTTGTCGCCCGCACTCCCTAACCTTTGGTTATCACTAGTTTATTATTTATTTAAATTTTTGAGTGTACTATGGTAATAGGACTGAATGGAGTGCAAGTGAACAGTCGGTAACCATACCAGTGATTAAACACAAGCTCTCTTACCAGTTTATCATTACTAATACAAAATTTGAGATGGCTATCTTGAATCTCGTAACATTCTTTATCCACTTCAATTTGGGTTTAGACAAAAGTGCTCGACAAATCATGCACTGATAAAAATTACTGAATCAATCCGTAACTCAACAACAATGAGTTTGGCTGTGGCATTTTTATTGATCTAAAAAAGGCATTTGATACAGTTAATCATTCCATTCTTTTATCAAAACTGAATCATTACGGAGTGAGAGGTAAAGCCTATGACTGGTTTCATTCGTATCTGTCCAATAGAGAACAATTTGTATGCATAAATGGCCATAACTCTGATTCTCTCTCAATCACTTGTGGAGTACCTCAGGGATCCATTCTTGGACCTCTGTTGTTTTTGCTATATATTAACGATTTACCGAACACCTCCAAACTGCTTAGTTTTCACTTATTTGCTGATGACACTAATATATATTTTTCACGTAAAAACCTTGAGAGTGTGTCCAAGAGAGAACCAGGCAGGGGGTGATAATGCTCAAATCACGGATTTCGCTCAAACTTGGCACAATTGATGGGTGTGGTGAGATATTAACCTCGACAAAAAGTAAGTTTGCAATATTGAATTCCCTGGGATTTACAGGGACCCCCCTAAAAACGACAAAATCTACTCATTTTTGCATAATTAAATAGCTAACTTTTGGTTTGGCTGTTCAACAAGAAGAAAAGACAACTTCAAATCTAATCAACTTTATCGTCTTCTATGTTTATCAGACTTAATGCTCAGTAATTTATTTTTACTCTCTAATTCCATCTCTTGCTATTATTTGGCCTAAAGTGAAGACATCTTCTTACTGTTTTGACGAAACCCTAAATTTAAGGTATTTTAGTGGCTAACATCTCCCATGAGCAACAACCTATGTACTTAATTCTCACATATTCTTTGAAAGACATCTTTAAGGTTATCAAATCAATCATAAAATATTTGGGCAATCTCATACTTTATCAATAATGACGTATTATGTACATCTGACTTGACTCTTATTTGTCATTTAACCAAAATACGAAAAAACGTAACATTCGTTTTTTTTAAACAAAAATAGCACAAAGTTGGCGAGAAGTCACAAATCAGATGCCTCATTATCGATACTAATAGCGGAATTGTTAGAAAGTGTCACCTGAGGCATGTTTTCTGTTTTTTTTTTTATGGACGTTTAGATGGATATTTTATGGAACGCTTGAGTAAACACAAGGAGCAAAAGATTTAGTTCAAAACTTCGATCGGTCCAACTTATAGGTGAAACAAGACCCAACAAGGATAAAAGATAGTGAATAAATGTTACATTCACGTCTCTCAGATGCTTTAGTCCAGATTTGCTGCTCCAGTTTCGTCTGGTTCTCTGTGGCGTTACTTCGTGACGAGGTAATGCAATCGAAACATCTTGAAACAGTGTCGGCTTTTCACCGAACATTCGAAGTCTTTGAAATAAGTTGTAGTCAGACTGAACAAAATCATTCTCAAAGGACAAGAAAGATCACTGACAATCCGTCTATACCTACGCAAAACAACCACCTGCTCGAACACCAACCGTCTTTGACTTTGGACTCTGCCTAAGCGATGGAATCTGCGACGCCGGACTACCGGACTCCGGAATGCGGAATACGCTATCTATTGTTTGTACGCGCCAATATCCTGTTATAACTGGTGTGTTGAAAATAGGTTGTGAAAGTCGTGTTACTTGAAATTTTGAGTTTATTCGATGTTGACATTAATTACCATGATAACAATGGTCCATAATAGCCCTTTTTGTAGTCAGACCGTGCCGTGCAATTTTTAGACAATTAATGACTAGCCACTGGGTATACTGACTTACTTACTTGTATTTTAATCCTCGTAGTCTTACAACTATACAGGTTGGTATCTGTATCTGGGTATATTATTGACTACAAAAATATAATAATAACCGTTTATAAAAGTGTTGAGGAAAAACTTCTGAGGAATACAAAAGACCCAAAAGGAGGCACTAATACACTGCAAAAAAAGTCGACAAGACTTCTTTAGCTATTCAAGGAAGGTGTTAAAGAACAGTTTCTTGAACACAGACGAATACACTATATTCACTTCTCATTTAAGCTGTCATTTGCGGATTCATACAGTAGATTAAGTTCTCTTAACGGACACTCGTATATAGCAAATAGCTCTTACTTACGACCGCCATCACAAAATCCCGTTTCAACTTCCACACAAACTCTGGATTTTTACATTCCCGTAGGCGGCCGCGGACACTTAAAGGGTTTACCGGCGAATTAGATGTTAGCTTTGATTTAAAGCTCTCGTAAGCAGACACTCGAAAGAAAATCTTATCCGCCTCTGAATGTTGTTGTTGTTTTTTTTTTTCATATCATGTCCACAGTCATACCGCTCTTTGTCACTGTTATGAATCATTCTTATATATCCGTTTCAGAGTTACCGTATGAGATTCATTCTTGTAAGCGGCCAGATCCAGTTAAGGACACCTTTTTCTCGTCCCGAGGGTGTCCTCTTACGAGAGCTTCCACTGTATTACAATTTGGGAAGGGTGTTAAACATATGGAAGCGGTTGTTTGAGAAAAATATCTATATCAATGTGAAAGTGTGGTGTATTTTGAATTCTACTTGGGAACATTACTGCCACAGTTAGGCTTTGTAAGACCCCAAAAGACCGTGCTAGATAAAAAAACAGTCAAATCTGGTGCCACTCCCCCGGGGAGAAGGAACTCCAATATGAAAAACAAAAAAAATGGAACTCTTGTCGCAAGCCAATCTGGACGTATCTCACGCTTTATTTGTCTCTTTGAACTGGTCTGCACCAAGATCCGGCTTCACTTCGCTGCTATATTTCACGTGCAACTAAAAAATATTTCTTTCCAAAACACGAAGACAAAGCGACTTCTATCTTCGAGTTTGAGAAGACACGGGATCATTTATAATCATGGTCTGAATAAAGTTGCCAATAGATTTGGAATTCTAAATTATTTATTAGCATACAATAACAATAAAATAATCTCAAAGAATATCGGAAAGTCATATTTTCGACTGAATTTTGTTCACTGGACTCTCACTCCTGGCTCCTGGCTCCTGGCTCCTGGCTCCTGGCTCCTGACTCGCGATACGATGTTTCCGTATGGTGGCAACCGCTGCTTAAAAATGCGGGCTCCAGTTAATGTCAAAGATGGCGGGCGTTTGTAACCCGGGTTTGTAACATGTGAATTGAGCTACAACAATGGCAGACATAATCCTTTCAGTGGGTTAAAAATCGGCTTTCTACTTTTCGTATTGTTTCCTCCTTAAACAACTTGATTTGGATTTTGGTGCGTAAACTGATGGCTAAGGAATTTTGGTCGTACAGCGAGTCACGACGCTGAACTACGCTTAACTGGACATCGAAGGTGGCATGGGGAACAAATCAAAGCGTGCACAAACTAGCTGTTGAGACATCTAAGAGATACATAAATGGATTTTATTGACCGTTTATATTGTTTTTTAGGGCGAAATTGTTAAAGTAAGTAAAACTGTGAATTAAATCTTTGTATGTTGTTTTTACTTGAAAAGATCGCGTATATAGCTATCAAAATTCATCGTTAGAGTTTCTTGCACAACAATTTCAACGATTCTACCCTTATTAATGTTAAATCATTGTCTGATGAGTTTTTTTTGTTCGATTTCTCATCATTCAAAGGCAAACACACGAATATTGTGAGGGCCTGAATTTTGATGAAATATGCAAAAGTCGTTCAGTCACATGAACAGTTTATGTCAACACATGGAAGAAAGTGAATTGCCCAAACTTTTTATGATCTTTTTCTCAACTTAAGTGATGGCTTTAAATACTCATGCAAAAGTTATAAAGATAAGCTGTTGCTCATCAGAGATATTTGGGAATAAAATACCCTAATTTTACGACTTACTCAAAACTTGGAAATGATGACCCAACTAAGGGGGCTCAGAGGGAGGAAATCGAATCGGCGACTTTAAACAGTTTAACGTGCTTAAAGTCTTATGAACTCAGATTATCTCTCAGTGCATTTAAGTTCAGGGTGGCTTTTCTGTTTGTTGCACTGGCATCGTAAAGTTAGCTAATTAATAATGCATAAAACGGGCAAAATGGCGATTTTTACAGGGGGAGCCCGGATCTCCCAGGGAATTTAATATTTTGACCTGACATTCTGTCACATAAGTTAACTCCTGATACCTAACATTTGTGCCGAGTTTGAGCGAAATCGGTGATTTGAGCATTATCACCCCCTGCCTGGTTCTGCCTGGTCTTCTCATGGACACACTCTTAATGATCTTGAACTAATCCTAAATCAAGAGCTCCATGCAGTGGCTGAGTGGATGAAATCTAATAGACTAGCTCTAAGTATTTTGAAGACTAATTTTGTTCTTTTTCATTCTAAGAGACTTAACACCATACAAGACATTAAATCTAAAAATTGATGGTGTGAACATCCAAGAAGTTTCCACGGTCAACTACTTAGGTGTCACTTTTGACTCAAACTAGGAAAAATCATGTTAATGAACTCTGCTTAAAACTATTGAAAACTGTAGGCATATTTTCCAAATTAAGGTACTATGTTAATGTTGATATACTTATTATGCTTTACTTTTCCCTTATGTACCCCTTTCTTACTTATGGTATTTAAGTTTGGGGTCTCACATACCCAACCTACCTAAAACCAGTAACTACTTTGCAAAAACGAGTCGTCAGAATGACTTTTTCCGACCCTAGATCTCATTCTGAGCCATTGCTGAAGCCTCACAGACTCCTAAAAATCTCTGATATAATTCATTTTGAAATTCTCTGTTTTATTTATCAGTGGTACCATAAACTAAGCCCTTCTTGTTTTGTAAATTATTTTAACCCAGTATCTTCAATTCATTCACATAATACACGTCAATCACAGATTGATAATCTGTTTGTTAAATCTGTCCATACCACTCAATACGGCATTCGTTCGTTCAGTTACACTGGTCCTAAACTTTGGAATTCTTTATCTATTGATGTTAAGAAAATCAAGCCGTTTTCCAGTTTTCGTCAATATATCAAGAATTCTGTGATTGATGGTTATAATACTATCATTGATTCCTAATGTTTTACGATTATATTATCTTAACTACTATTTAATTAATGAAGTAATACTTTTTATCTAAAATAACTATTTTGTATCTATATTCCTTCTACTCATATTCTTGTTTGGGTCACCTACTCGGTTAGTTCCACGAACTATTTAGGTGTCCCAAAATCTGCACGATGAACCTACAATTGAAATCCTCTTTCCCTTCACAATCTCTCGATTTTATATTTTAAAGCACTAATATGTATTAATTATAATTATTCGTGTGAGTTTAAATACAAATTGACTTGACTTGATAGTTTCAATTTTTGTTCACAAAAGAACAAGATCTTCCTATAGATTTTACCAGAAGGGAACGAAAAAGACCGCATTCAAGTCGTTTGTAATGCTAGAGTCAGGGATGTCGATAGCCAATCGTATTGGAGAATTTTGTTGCCCCACCAGGGTTCCGGTCCTGAGGAGGCACCTTAACTTCCCCCGCGTTGTTTTGGTAATATAAGAAATCTTCTCAATTCGAAGAAACTAGGCGAGCAAGGTGGTCCCGGTTAATGTTTCAGCAGCATTAGATTCCATCTTCCATCTTCTTTTAACTAAACTTACATGAAATTTTTAAGTCTCTTCAAAATTCTATTCTTCTAATCTTTTTTTAAGTCAAAAACCCTTCGTTTTTTTAGAGAAAATAAAGAGATTGAAAGTGGCATCAGCAGGATTCGAACCCGCGCTCCTTGAAACCGAAATCACTACACCACAGTGGATTCGACTTCAAGTTATGTTTTCATTTTTGCTAACGAGCAGCCTCGCGCGAAGACGCGAGGCTGCGAGGCGGCAGCCTAATAGAGCCGTGCGCGATTGTTCCAGGAGCAGAAAAAATCTCGAATCGATGTAAGATAGAGTAATGTAAGGCAACCATGACGTAATGCTGAACAGAGAATGCATTGTTTTCGAGCGAACACATGAGAGAATCCACGAGCCGTGTGCATGCTTGTGAATCCCGTGTTCATCCGTCTTCAACCAATCGTCGGGTGCATCATTTCCCCATACGCAATATTTGTCGCATTTGCCCGGCCCGCTGAAAGTTTTTTCATTGCATGTCTTTGAAGCAAAATAATTCTGATGGCTTCATTGGCGCATGCACCATAATTTTTTTTAGCTTTACAAAGAAACCAGATATGTCTGTACGTTGAATATTCGCAGACTTTAATATGATTTTTCGAGGATTTTAAGTTTGCTTATAAGACCACTAAATTTTACTCAAAATGACTTGTGCGCAAGTTCGGACAAAAACACGAACCTCAATATCTCGAGAAATCTGCTGCGTAAAGTCGGGATTTCAAATTCTTTTTGCAGTAGAACAGTACAGTTTAGTTCACTCTTTTCAAAAGACAAATTAAAGCAATGAGCAAACATACACCATACTTCTTTTTAAATGCTTAAATGGTACGGGACCTACTTATATTGGAAGCCTTTTTAAATACAGGCATACACCGTATAGGCTAAGAGGCGAGGGCTTGAATTTGGAATTACCTAACTTTAATCTTAAATTTAAGAAGAATTCTTTCACTTATTCATTAACTAAGTTATGGAACAGTTTGCCTTCTCAAGTGCGTCTTTCAAGTGATGCTAATGACTTCAGAAGTAAATTGCACGACCGCAGCTTTTTAGAACGTGTCTTATAGTGCACGATGGTAGATTTTAACTGTTTTTAGAACGAGTATTATCGTTTTCCTAGTCACGTTTTTTAGTATGTGGCTTTTTAGTCAGTTTTAGCTTTTTATATTTTATGTTTTTATTACCAAGTTTTTTATATGTATATATTTGTTGAGTTGTTTTTAAAATTAAAAATATTATAACAGAGCCGTAATTATCATAGATTTTATTTATACACGTTCGTATTTTGAACGAGTTTTTTAGCTCTTTGACGTAACGTGTTAAAATAAATGATTGATTGATTGATTGATTGATTGTCTGTGGCTGTCACTGCCCCCGTGATATGGCTGTGCACATGCGTGAGGTATCGGTCCGGCCGTGGGTTGGTGTATGTGTGCCCTTTGCTTTAAGTTTGCACTATTTTCAATGCAGTCGAAGTAAGTTCAATCTATTTTTTATCAATTACTGTATTTCATGACATTTCTTAACAAATTCAACAGCGCGCGCGTATAGGTAAAATCTTTGCACGTTGGCACTTAGCAATAGCTATAACTAGTATATATTTATAGTGACAAACCTAACAGTAAATGAAAGCTAACCATTTCGAGTCAGTGCTTAGCTCTAATCACTATTGTGAATGCTTAACCCAAATCACTATGTTCAGTGCTTAACCGTAATCACTGCAACGTTTTTCGCGAAGTTTTAACATGTCACAACCTAAGAGCATAGAAATAAAGAGATTACGTATTGAACGTTAAAAGACATACTTCAAAATAAACGTCATGTCTAAGGCGTGGCAGATGTAGTGAGAACTATTGCTAGTTTTAGATCTGATTAGCTAGGTTGAAGCAGTCAGGTATCTTTGATTGTGAAATGAAAATAATTGTCTCATTACCTCTTTTGTTGTCTTTGGAAACCATTGCTCAATACCATTAACTTTTACTGCCTCTTGAGTGACTGTACAGAACATTTGATCACCTGGATAGACGTCAACGAGGTCTAAACAGGTATCTTGTTTGCAGCACAATTTTCCACATTTTGTACACTCTTGACCTTCTACCACGCACGATGGACAGGCAACACAAAGGCTATACTGTAGGCCGTGCAAATAACGGAATTCATCGGCCAAAACCTCTAAAGTGTTTTCCAGGGACTCTCGCACTTGCGTGGCCATTTCATTTGAACTATCATCAGGAAACTGCTGAGCTTCCCCTTCTTTCTTCAGAACAATCTTAATAAACCGTTTCTTACAGACAAGTTTTAAGCGGTGGGCAGTTACATCTCGTCTAATGATGAAGAAAGCTCCATTTTGGGACAATTTTATATCATCTTTCCCACGATTTTTTCGAAGACGTTTAGACGTGTTTTTGTGAATTTCCATTCCTGAAATCCAACTGATTGAGCGACAAACAATTTGAGCGAAAACTCCATGGGGAACAAATCCAGTGCCAAAGTCGATGTACAACGGACAGGGATCAGAACTTGAAGGTACAACGTTCGGGAGGGACCCAATCCCCACTCTCATTTGTGCTGGAACATAGTACTTTTCACCACTTGAAGTAGAAAACTTTGAGATCAAACCAAAATGTTCCATCAAGCTTAAAATGTCCTTCTTGACAACGCTCGAAACGTTCAGAGGGCGAAATACATGATCAACCAACACCGTGCTGAGGATACCAGTATTTTGCAAGTTCTTCCATTCGTTTTTAGGAACTGGATCCTAAATGAAACAATGACAGCAAAATATATTATCTAATTGTTATGTAAGACATTAATCATGGAATGTAAGGGCTTTGCAGGTGAAGGGGGTGGTGATTAGCTGAGTGAATGCCACCTCCCAACTAAAATTCACGATTTCGATCCAAAACATCTTATTTATTTATTTATTCATTTATTTATTTTACATTTGCCACAGAAAATGAATATTACAGAAAGAAAAAGGAAAAATATATATCTTACTAAGATTGCAAATTTATAGGGCAGGAAAAGTTACAAAAATAGTCCAAAATTAAATGTAATATTAAGTGACTTAACTTTTAATTTGTAATAGATAGAGTGGCGAGGAGGCCCAACAGAAGCTAAACAGCTTTTAGAAATTGGACTCCTCATACTTAGTTATGATTTAATGTAAGCTGCTCTTTAATAGCTGTTTACTTGTTACTTGAGCAAATATTAAAGGTAATTACAAGTAAAAACATCTAGCATTTTTTCGGGACAAAAAAGAACAACACTTTCTTAAATTCTCTTTCTCGTTTTTTCAAGAGGAAATTATCACATGAAATGACATTACATTTCGCTGGAAGACACACGGTGGTTATTGAATAAAGGCAAGGATGTTCCACAGGCTATATTTTGAGTTACCACGATTTCTTGCCCACGGTCTCTGTACAACGCGGACCGGATACCCGCTGATGGCGGATGCGGATAACCAAAAAAATGAACATCACTAATTTTACTAAAAAATTGTAAAAGAACGAAATTCCTTAAATTAAAAAAAAGGGAAAAAACAAAACCCAAAGATAGGGTGGAGTACGCGAAAAAATCGGCGCGCATTGGTTCGCCTATTTCGCGCTTGCCTCGTTATTCGCTCCGTTTTCCCACAATGGAGCCTGGTCTTAAGCTCTCAGTGCAAATCAACGCTTCTGAATCAGAGGTTTTCTTGTTTTCTTTTTTTTTTCTTTCGAGCAGGTAGATTTATAAATTGCATTGAGAAATCTTTGTTCTGTAGCCGTTTCCCGGGATGGAGGCAACTTCCAAACTGGCCTTGACGAGTATGTGTTTTTCTGGCACCAATCAGAAGCCAGAACGGCGGCGACCGTTTGGAACTGGTCTGATAAGACATTGTCCCCAGGGGCTCTTCTCGCCGTTCTTTACTTTTCTTTGTTCCCTATATATTTTCCCGCCCGTTTAGACTTTCCCTCGCCCCCTTTACCTGTCCCTGGGTCTCCGAGGATGGACGACATTGCTTTTGACGGTGAAACTGCTTTTCGCCATACAATTGTTTGAAGCGACCCGCAATGCATGTTTGCCCCCCCCTGGCGATCCCAGAATACCATGCACATAACATAGGTCTGCGATTACTGGAAAATGGTTCATTTAACTCAAATTCGATCCTTTGCTAAGTCGACGTAAAGTGCCGTCTAATTTAGACGACGAATAGGCCATTTGCTAGACTACGAGTAGTCCCCCATTTTTCCTCAGGGATAGTACAGCGAGCGAAACGCGAGCGCGCGTGAGTCACCCCACGCGAGAAAAGGCGACACGCGATTTTTCTCTCTTCCCGCCGCGTGTCGCCTTTTCTCGCGTAGGGTGATTTTAACGCACGCTCGCGTTTCACTCGCTCTACTATCCCTGAGGAAAAATGGGGGACTACTCGTAGTCTAGCCATTTGCCCGATGACATCATTTTACTACTACGACCAGAATCCTTAAGGGCTTTCCTTTCTTGTCACGGATTTTGTCATTTTAATCTCGCGGGATTACCAAATTGAAATATCACAGGAAAAACGAAAAGAATTCTGGTCTCGGTAGTAAAATGACGCCATCGTGCAAATGGCCCATTTAATCTGTCTTGTTGACGAATTTAATCTGATTACACAGGCGGTCCAACAGAACTGTTGGAGGCATCGTGGTGTCACGCGCGATATGTGATCCCAAACATCTAGGGCCAGTTATTTAAACAGAGTTTAGCCAGTGTTTAACAAAACTGCGTTCGAAGCCCTTTTCTGTTTGCCTAATGCTTATCTTTACACCATTTACCGTGAAAGGTTTCATGAAAGCATAAGGCGTACGCTGGAAAAGCACTTATTTTCTTAAAATTACCCGCTAAGGAAGATATCTGGAGGTACAAAGATTTGCTAAACCGCGGCCTAAGTTAGACTTGGTTTAAATTACCGACACTTAAAATTTATTTCGTAAAGCTAGCGCGCTCTCGGCTTGATTGAAGTGATCGGGAGAATGCTCAATGAATGCTTCATAAAACAAAGAGGTTTGCACCTTTTAATCCCAAATGTCAATGTAAGGCAGGTAAGAAAGATGAACAAAGATAACTTACCATACGTTTTTTAATTTAGGGTCACCTTCTGCATTTTTGTGGAGTTTTGAGTCGCTTGAAACTGACACCCCCCCACTAATACATAATAAAACGACGTCGATTTATTATGTTTCAGTCAAGGTTTCAGTGCCTCGACCAGCTCGGATGGTCCCCTTTTGCTGACGTCGGTGCTTTTATACCACTGAACTAAGCAGGAGGATCCGAGCCGACTCGAGAAAAAAAATAGTCACAGAGCTGCCGTTACAATATAGGCTCGAAAACAAAATGTTCCTCCACGGAAACGCCTTGTTTACAACAGCAGAATAACAATAAAAATGGCGCTAAATCGACATTCTCGTCCCCAGAACAGGCTCTGGAATCAGTAGTGTAGCAGCTGCTCTTAAGGTCTCTCGTAATTGGTCGCAGGAAACAATGAGATGTCATCCTTTTAATTGTTTTAGTATTGTTTGGGGTCAGTAAAACGCACCCATGACCTTCTGGAATGGGAGCCCGTTGAACTTGTGCCTATGCGCAGTGAAGGAAACTGGCACCACCTCAGCCTACCCTCTCAGTTTCCTACGCTATAACAAATTAATACACATTAACATTGCATTTAGCTCGATGCGTCGTTTGTACAATGTCTAAAATGAGACACTCTACAGACGTTTTAAATTAATCTCATACTTCGCAGCATCGTCGAAGAAATAACTGCTTTAAAAGGCGTGAATTTAATTCGTCTGAATTAATCCGACGTATAAACCAGGTTTAAGTGTCAATAATAATGGAATAATTGAAAAGATTTACGACAACAAATGAGACAGGTTTACCCCAGCGGAAGATATGTTTTATTAGACGTTATTGTGTTGAACATCTAAACGACCGGAGTAGATCCATCTCACCCCCATTCCCCCACCCCAACCTAACCCCGTTATCTGAACCTGATAAGTAATGGTAACTGGACTGAGTGGAGTCCAATTCGGTCTGTAATCATACGAGTGATTAACAAAATCGGACGACCGCGTAGCGGGAGTCCGATTTGTTTAATCACGAGTATGATTACAGACCGAATTGGACGACACGAAGTTCTGTTACCAATTAATCATAACTTTAACAAAATTTAGTAGTTATAAAATGCTGCTTTCTCACTCACTCACTTGGAACTTATTTCCGTCATTTTTCAATTATTTCCCTCATTGCTACCGTCAAGTCCCCCAAATGACCCAAATAACCCATATCCCCCCAAGTCCCCCAAATGACTCAAATAACCCAAAATAACCCAAATCTCCCATGTCCCCCAAAAGTGATTCAGAAAAATAAAATTGATTTTTAAAGAAATAAAATCTTATAATAAATTTGTTATTTACCAAAAACATGTCAAATAAAGTGAAAGAGAATATGAAAACAATAATGCAAGCTACAACAGTATTCAGAAAAAAACAAAGAAAAAAGGATAAAATTCCATTTGAAGTAGGGAATTTAATATTTGAGAGTAAAGAAGAATACGAAATATTTAAACATATTGACGATAATATTAGAATAGTTGATAAATGTATAGAAGATGGCCTAATTTCAGCTGATGCTTATTTTTATTCAATCATAAATATAAGTGTAAGACAGACTTTTTGGGGTGGTTGGCAAGAATTGTATGAATTGTTTCCAAATGCCGCAGACTTAATATATATTGTTGATGATGAAATGTTTGACAGAAATGATAACAAAATTGGTAGTAGATTTTTTAATAAGATTTATCTTAAGGATGAAAAAGGTAGGGGTATATGCTTTGCCTGAAGTTTTATTATTTTTAAAAAGTGAGGCAGAATAAATAAATTGGGTTAAAGCAAAAACAACATTTTTATAGAATGGGTGTCAAATCGAAAAGCCAAGCAATTAACTTACCAAGCCAAACTAGTAAACCTTATGAAAAAAGCGGTTTGATATTTGAAAGTAGAAATGCTTATGATGATCTTAAGAATATTGATGATAATGCTCAACAATTAGTTGATTCAATAAAAGCTGGATCTCTTGTTATGAAAGAATTCTTTGGTAGATTTGATAAAACCAAAGTCAAAGAAACACATGTTGATGCAGCTGAATACTTAGAGTTTCTATTTCCAAATATCTCCAGGTTAATATGTTTATCCGACCCTGATTATTTTAAAACTGAGTTAGATTTTGCCGATAATTTTTATTCATTGTTGGATATAGAATACTTTAGCTAAATCCTATAACATTTTTGTTATAAGATTAGTATACGTATAAATAAATAATGCCTCGAAAATCAAAAAAGGAATCTATTCCTCCCTTCTCCCCTGATGAATCTCCTACTGAATCAGATAAGGAATTTATCGTTGAAGATGGTTATACATCTGATGACCCGGATTTTGACCCAAATCCCAAACATATAGTCACAGGTGATTTATTCAAAAAGTTACAGAAACGTGCTCGTAAGCTTGGTGCAGAAAGTCTTGAGTATTCTCCCAGAAAAAATAATAAATATATGGCCACGCTTCCAAGCGGAAAGAAAGTACATTTTGGTTCACCAAAGTATCCAGACTACTTAATACACAAGGATAAAGAGAGAAGAGACAAATATTTAGCTAGAGCTACAAAGATAAAAAATAAGCAAGGAGAGTTAACTTATACTAAACCAGAATCGCCAAATTTCTGGAGTACCCATCTTCTTTGGCCAAAAAAAAATTGATTTTTTAATTGTAGTTTAAGAAATAAATTATAATTATCAAAATGCAGTTATCCGCTTACGATCATTTAACCAAAGACACCGTTATTTTTAAAGAAGCAAAAGAGTCAAAAGTAAAAGATAGTAACATTAAATACAAGCGTATACCAATTGAAATCAAATACCAAAATAACAAAAAAGGACCACTTGTAATTGAAACCCCATTTCTTTTTAGCTTTGGAGTAAATGAAAAGAGAAATCAAGAAACAAAAAAGTTAGTAGGATATAGTATGCCAGTATGTCTTTGGGCAAAAGATAGCGAACCAAATGAAAAAGAAAAAGCGTTTTATGGTGCTATTAATAGTCTAACATCTTTGTCTATAGAACATTTAGAGAATGAATATGGACCAGATTTAGCCTCATCTCTTTCCCCACCGTTATACTACAAACAAGAAGAGTACACTGATAAAAAAGGAAAGAAGAAAACTAGAAAAGATCCCTCATCTGCACCAGTTCTTTATGCCAAACTTATTTACTCAGAAAAATCAAAGAAAATTTTATCTTTGTTTAAAGGAAAGGGGGGAAAGGATCTAAATCCTTTTAAACTCATCAACCAGTATTGTAATGTGAAATTGGCATTGATAATAGAAGGAATCTTTATAAGTAAAACTGTAACATCTTTACAAATAAAAGTTCACGAGTGCTATGTTAAACCACTCAAACCAAGAGAGTCTTTACTAATGGTTGAAGAAGATGACGGCGAAGAGCAAAGCGACAATGAAGAGCAAAGCGATAATGAAGAGGATATAGAGAAATTAGTTGAAGATTTAACTTTATCTGATGAAGAGCCAAATGAATAAATAGGATTTTATTTTTAATACATTATTTGTATTAAAAATCAACCAAATCCTTAGAACTTACTCATGAGTTAAATTTATCAGGATATCCACTCCATTTTACTAATGCCATTTTTTTCTTATTATCTCTCTTAATAATTTTTTCTATTCTAAATGTTTGCTGTTTTGCTTTTTGTAATTCTTGCTCGTAGAAAGAACCTTTAATCTCTTCTCCCATCAAATCAGTAATAGAATATGTAACAGGTTTTGTAGGTAAAACTTTATCAATAACGAATATCTCTTCTGTCCAGTTTGGTGTGTAACCTTTATCAAATACCCGCCTCTTATATTTTGATATTCTAACTTTATCACCAATCGCAAACTTTGGTTTACCAGGTTTCAAGTAGATTAAATCACCGTATAAATTAGACCAAACTTTATTTTCATTTTTCTTTTTACTAGCTTCAACAGGAGACATTTTTATACTAGAATGTCGAGCGTTATTGTAATCATCAACTAGTTTATCTATCTTATCCCAGTAAATAGTGTTGTTATTAACTGTAAACATCTTCCACATTCTGTTTTTCATTGTTTTATTCCATCTCTCAACAACACTAGATTTCTCCTCGTTTTCAGTGTGATACAGCTTGATACCATTTCTTTTCAGAAAATCTTTGAAATGTTTGCTTATAAATTCGGAACCTTTATCAGTCCATAACATTTTAGGTTTACGTTTACTTTTGAATACATCCCCGAATGCTTTACTAACAGTTTCAGTTTTCTTATCTTTCAGCCCCCTAATCCATCCATACTTGCTAAACACATCAATAACCATCAAGAGATATTTAATACCTTTGTTCCACTTACTAAACTTTTGCATTTCAACTAAATCAGCAGCCCAGATTTCATCAATACCGTTTGAGATTACTGATCTTTTTTGAAAGTTTCTTGTGATTGGTTTGTGCAGTTCGTCGGCTAATTGTTGAGACCAATCACTACTCAACGCCGACTCGCGTTTAAACCAAGTCCAAGTTTTTGTTTGGTATTAATTATTGTTCTAGCTAAAGTATGCCCCCATTGTCTTTCTTTCCAAGGAATAGCATCTAAGGATTTTACCATCTTTCTGTCTGCCTTATTTTTGCACTTTCGGTCATCCCCACAAACACTATAATCTACGTCATGCTGCATGGCAACAGCATCGGTTGGCCCAGTTGGTTGATCATAAATTTCTAATATTTCGCCGGTTTCCGGATCATATCTTACTTGGTTTTCGAGATCATTATAAGGGCCTGTATATTTATGCCCTGGCAATGTCCATCCACCTTTTGGTTTTGGTAATTTACCAATCTGCTTGTGAACATCAATTCCTTTTCCAATCCTTCGGTCTAATTCTGGTCTGTCAGTTTTATACTTTTTATTTGGCCTCACTTTTGTTGATAGTTCATCCATGGCTGTTCCAACAGAATCTTGAATAAATGGGGTGAGTTTATTAATTCCATAATTTACAGCTTTCTTCTGAAGATTTTTGTTTCTGATTAACTCACTTGCTCCATATCGCCCCATTTCAACTGCTTTTTTACCCATCCAAGGAAGCCCGTAATGTACAAATCCATCAACTGCTGTGCCAACAACAGTATCAAAGACGCCCGCCCCTTCAGACGGGCTAATTAGTTTTTTGACTTCTTTTTAGTTTTTCTTTTTCCACTTCCAGTTTGCAGGGGGGTTATGGGGGGAGGCACTCCCCCCATTTTAACATATCTAACTTTTTTAATTCCACAAACTGCACAGTGACAGAAGAATTGAGTTCTACCTCTTTTATCTTGTTGGTAACCACTTGGCTCTGTACAAGGAGTTACTCTTTTATCTTTAATACAATAAGTTTCTTTCATTTAATATAATGTTTAGATAAAAAATATATTTATATAATAAATGGAAGCTAAATTCTTTTCTGAGATTGAAAAAAATATGGATGTTAAAACAATCAAGGATTACGAGAAAGAAGTAAGGGTAAAAATATATAATGAGCTGGAGTCTCTTAGAAAGAAAAACGAAGATCTTTCTAGAGTTCTGATGGTTGGTGAATGTGAGATGTGGAAAAAAATAAGAAACGAGGAATATTCTTGGTTGGGACTAAATAGTGATAAAAAGAAGAAACTTTATCGTCTTATTGATATTTATTCTAATTTCATAGATATAGTTGATAGTGTTAAAGATCTAAATACAAAAGTTGAGAAAGTTAAACAGCTAAAGAATACACCAGCTGATAGTGAATAAAAAAATAATATTTGTTAAATATTATTTTTACATTACGCGGCGTAGCCAAGGGAGGGGGTTTCGGGGGAACCGTAGGTTCACCCGCCAAAATATTCCTGTATAAAATCGCTGTTATCATTATCAAAATGAGGGTTATGTATTACATCTAGAATACCTTTACCTTTTTGTCTCTCGAATAAGTAGTATAAACACCAATATCCACATAGAACAGTGCTGCGATTTTGTATTTCATCCATTGAGTACACAATAGGTTTTACAGATCCCGTGTGAAAATAGTCTAATACTTCGTTTGGCATTATCAGACCAAACGGATCGAAATACTCATAAAAACCACTCTCCCCACCAGCAGGGGGGGTTTTCATTATATGCTGAGAGGAAAGGGGGTTTTGGGGGGTGCCCGAAGGGCTTGAGTAGTTTTCCCCCATCCCCATTTCTATAACAAACCCAGTGTGTTCCAGGTCCTGTTATATCATCGAGATTGATTATTCCACATTCTTTTTTAATCTTTTTTGGTAATCCATCACGACTGTATATTCCTCTAAAATTTTTTATACCAAGTCTTTTTATCCATTCCATTAGGTCAAAGTTGGATAGAGGTTTAATTACAAAATGGAGCTGAGAATGATTAAGGGCCCCCACTATAGAATTGTTCCTAGTATGGGAATTGAGTTGAATGGGCTGTTTTTTCCTAGAAGTAGTCCTGAACCTTTGGACGGCCTGCCGGCTTTTTTTTTTTTAACTCCCATTCCTATAGGGTTGGACCATGTACCAATAAAAGGAGGTGATTGATATGGATAACCTGTACCATGTGTGGGCGGCACGTAAACATTTGCTGTATTAGATGATCCACGTCTGTCAACCTGAAGTCCCCCACCAAGCATCTTTGATACCAAACTAATTGCTATTGGAATGCCAATAGAAGCAAGAGTACCTAAAAATCCTCCTTCTATCTGTTTACGAGTTGGTTTTATAACTACTCCACTACCTGATTGATAAGCTTTGTTAATTTGATTTATTTGTGATTTGGTAAATTCTCTTACAATATTTGGTAGCATTGGGAAAAACTCTGGGGGAATCGGGATTCCTTGTAAAGGAAGGGGGGTATGGGGGCTGTTTCCCCCCTTTCCAAATATTTTATTTAGCCCAATTTCACCAAGTGCAGTAGCAGCGCCAGTTGCTAATGCGGGAACAGCTTTTGAAATTCCTTTTATTGCGAAAGGAAGAACTTTTGCTCCAAGAGATGCGAGTGATGAAAATAAGTTTCCTCCGTGTTTCACAGATTTTCTAATTTGAGTTTTACTTATCTTTATATCAGATCCTGTGCCATTTGCAATAGATTTTTTTATTTTATCAATCTGTCTTTTTGTCAACATTAACTCATCATTTCCTCTAAGATGCGAATGTTTTAACCGAAGAGTCAAAGGTGACTGATTTATTATCGCAGAAGCTAGTTTTGACTTCTGTCCATCTGAAAGTTTTACTCCGTATTCAATATAAGAAGTCATTTTATTTTAATGTTTATATTAAAAATCTTATTTTACGTGGTGTAGACAAGGAAAGGGGGTTATGGGGGGTGTTTTCCCCCACGTGTAACCTCACGCGGCGCTACGAAGGGAGGGGGTTTCCCCGTTTGATATAATTAGATTTTATCTTCAAAATCTAATTGCTTTGTCATTAGAACCTTCTAGAAGCAGGGGGGTTTTGGGGGGGAGGGCCCTGCAATCCCCCCATTACATCATAGTATTTTTTTAGAAGTAGGGGGGTTTTGGGGGGAGGGCCCTGCAATCCCCCCATTCACAACAATTTATTCGCCACGTATATCAAAGTGATAGCAGTTATCTAGTTCACTATCAAAGTGTTAGAAAGTTTGATAAAAATGCCTATCTCATTGTAGCCAAGGGAGGGGGTCGTAGGGGGGTTTTGGGGGACGCAGTCCCCCCACCCTACGCTCTAAGCAATAGTTTTCCATCTTGTTGTGATATTTCTGCTATTCTTTCGTGTAAAACTAGCGCGTAAATATTGTAGTCAGCGTTTGGATTAGCAGTTAATTCGTAATGAAATGCTAATTTTGTAACTCCATCCTTTATATCCATTTTCTGTTTAGTCAAATCAAAATACACAAAAGGAAATAAAGTTTTGAAATTACCTCGATTAAGTAATGTTCCGCCTTGATAATCATTATTTGCATAGACGTATGACATTACATTTCTAAAAACTCTTGACATATCTGTAGAAGGTTTAAAGTGAATATCTGGGTATTCGTTTCCATTTGCAACTTCCAGATAACATCTTGATATATTAGCATTATTTGGCAGATCAAAAGTGTCGTATACAAATGGATTTGCTGTTTGTGAATCAATTCTTGCTGTATCAATTCCAAAAACAAATACATGCCTTGGCTTTGAAATAGCATTTGTAATTCTAAAATGTCCTGTCTGTTGCTGTGTATTATTTGACCTTTCAACTACTTCATTCAAATATGTCCATTTGTAAGGTTTAAGATAATTTTCCATGTACAACTTTTGTCCTTCTGAATTAAACGTAAGTTTTGGAATAAAAAGTTGTAGTCTTGTTATAATAACTCTACAATCATCAGCAGCTTTAAAAATTAAATTCGCATCTTTTTCAATCTCGATATTTAACTCAATTTTTGTATTAGGAAGTAGTTTATCTTCCAATGCTTCAAAGAAAGAATATCTGTTAAGAGGAATTTCACAGTTTACTGTGGCTGATGCGCCTAATAGTAATTTCCTACTATGAAAACCTTTATTATAAGTTGCTTGAGCAGGTCTTTCCTCTGCCGCTCTTGAAGTATCAAGAAAATAAAATTCGTTTGTAGCAACACTCTGGGCATATGAAGGATTATACTTAAGTAAATTCTTAATATTTACAACATGATTCGCATAATTACAACTATAAACTTCTCGACCATTTGCTATGATACTTAATTTTTCTATAAAGGAGTTACTACCATTTACAATTCCATTATGGTCAGCAAGCGCAATGTTTCCTCCATCTGCCAGCTTATTTACTTTAAAATCCATTGATAATCGTGCGTTATACCAGTCAAAAGGAGTGGATTCTCCTGTGTTATCAACTACAAATCTAAGACCTGTTTTAGTTTGGTGAGCGTTATTTGCTGGAGCCGCATCTAAAGTCTGTTCCAGGTCATAAACAACATCCTCATATCTATCTAAATATTTTGGATTTCTAAAAGACTTCATTTTATTTTAATAATTATATAATTTTCTCTTACGTGTTGAACCCCCACTAAGAAGGTTAATCAACATTTGATCTATCTCTTTTTGAGATATTTTTTTAGCAGGGGGGTTTAGCAGGGGGGTTTTGGGGGGAGGCACTCCCCCCAGCAGGGGGGTTTTGGGGGCTTCCCCCTTTGATAACATTTGCACTATTTTATCACCGGCCTTTTTGCCAACATGTTCACCGGTTTTTGTTGCGGCTGCTGTTACTGCTTTTTCAACGCCTTTTTTAGCAGCTTTTTTAATTGTCTTTCCAAATAATTTTGATCCAAACGATTTAAAAACATCTGTTATTCCTTCGCCATAAATATGTTGTTTTGTAAAACTACCCAATTCAGGGTCAAATCTCTTTTTATACTCTGATTGTCGCATCATTTTATCTAATGTTTATATACTAATGCTGTGGGGGGAGTGCCTCCCCCCAAAACCCCCCTGCTGCAAAGGGAAAGGGGTGTTAGGGGGACGCAGTCCCCCTTATTACATACTATGAAGTATCAAAGTCATAAACCAATCTATACCATTGAAATTTACAGGCCTTCCAAGTGAGTCTGTGACATAAATTCTCATTTCATCAATTTGAAATGAAGAGGCAGTACAATACAATGGTCTTTTAGGCTCAAACGTAAATGGATAAGACCTTGTAAGATTATCGGTTGGTATCACAGCAATGGTATTTGTATTTATTCCATTTACTATGCTATCTGTTATTGTGGTTGTGTTGATATTTAACACATCAATCGAATTTGTGATATTTGGTAGTTTTGATCCATACTCTGTTTTTGTTATGAGTTTCTTTTCAAAACCAATTAGGTCTCCAAATTCTGTTCCTCTCAGATCAAGTTGATATTCACCATCGAGTGATACTAACACACGATAGGTAGATAGTATAAAAGTTAGATTGATTGAATACTTCTTTGTACCTTTAGAATCCGTTGTGTGATGAGACTTTTGGTCCATGTACTGATGAATGTAATCATTAATATCTGAGTAGGAATACATTCCATCTGTAAAAGTAATTGTTTGCCAGGTGGTTCCATCGTGAGTATATTTTATTTTATTGTTTCCATAATCACTTCTAATGTTGTACCATGAGTAAGTCATTGACAATCGATCAAGAGCAAGTTGATGTTTCTTTTCAGGGTCAAGTTTCAAAGATGGGTTAAATTTGATAGTAAAATCACCAGGTCTGCTTGTTCCTCTTTTTTCTCTGTTTATCGAAGAAATGTGAATAGCTCGTTCTTCCATTTTTATCTAATTGTTATATAACTTTTTATTAAATCATTTAGCTGTTTTTTTGAGATCACTTTCATTTGGTTTAGAAGATGAGCTATTTGAGAAAACTCATTTATCACACCATTATTCCCAGCAAGAATTGAACCACCGAGTAGTTCAAGTCTGTCTAGAAGTTGATGTGGGTTGTTATAGTAAACCAGCAGGGGGGTTTTGGGGGGAGGCACTCCCCCCATGCCAGATTTTGTTTTGTAATACATAAGATTAGTTAAATTTGATGCATATATGCTTAATGTGTTATATTTTTTTATAAAATTTTTTGTGTTTTCACGTGGATTTTTATTTACTGGTTTAGCTATAAAATAACCGTTTGAATCACGTTCAAAAACAGCGGTATTTTTTATTGCTTTACTAGTCTCTCCTAAATCTTCATTAACATCCTCGATTAATTTATCAATAGTAGAAACATCCTCTTCAAAATACTCAGAAGGAAGTTTGTCGTATCCATTAAGTTTGAGTATATCTTGTGCTTCTTTGTTCATTAAATTTCTATCGAGGTCTTCAGGCGTAAATTTTGCTATTTTACCCTCTGATGTAGAGGGTAAAACTTCTTCGTCTTTTGGCTCTTCAATCGCCTCAAAACCAGGTAATTGAGCCAAATCCCATTTTTTTACTTCGTCAAGTTTATCAAATCCCTCAGTTATAGCCATCCTGTTTTGATTAAGCCCCTGTGTAAGAGCAAGTTGATTAGCTTTGAGCTGTGCTATAGTTAAGTTTTGTTGGTCGTCGATACTCTTTTTAATAGACTCTTGAGATTTAATAAGTGGTTTAAATGTCTCTTTAAAACCTTCCCGCATATCTTGTTTTTGCCATTTTGTTGTTTTTATAACATCTCTAACCTGCCGTACCAAAGCGTCGGCTTCGATTTTATTTTTTGCAAAATTTTTGAATTCTTCTATATCCATTTTATCTATTAAATAGATAATGGGGGAAAACTACGTACAAGCCCTTCGGGCACCCCCCAAAACCCCCTTTCCTTGGGGGACTGCGTCCCCCCATTTTATCTATTAAATAAATAAATGGAAATACCAAATTATGATAGCGCCGATAACATTGATAAAAAATATAAACAGTTATTTCCTTTTATGCCGGCGGATACGTTTAGAATGTTAATCTGTGGAAACAGTGGAAGTGGTAAGACTAATCTTTTGTATCATATGTTAATAAAACCACTGTTGCATTACGATGAGATTTATCTTTACGCACGTAATCTTGAACAGGATAAGTATCAAAAACTCATCAAAAAAATGAGGGAGTTGAGTAGTAAAATTGGATATGAAATACTTCATGTGAGTAACGATGAAATAACCCCGGTTACAGAAATGGATTACGAAGACAATCAAAAACTTGTGATATTCGATGATTACGTCTGTGATAAAAACCAGAGGAGTCTTATTGATTATTTTATTCAAGGACGACATAAAAATTGTTCTGTGATCTATCTCAGTCAATCATTTTATAAAACTCCAAAGGATATTCGTCTAAATTGTTCTCACTATTGCCTGTATGAATTTCCATCATCGCGAGAAGCAAATCGCATATCATCAGAATTAGGGGTTGACAAAGAGGTGTATAAAGCAGCAACAAAGAAACCCTTTTCATTTTTGTACATCGATAAACCAAAAAAACGTATTGCTAAAAACTTCACTGATGGGGGGATTGCATCCCCCCAAAACCCCCCTGCCGGGTGAACCTACGGTTCCCCCGAAACCCCCTCCCTTGGCTACGACGCATTAGTATATAAACATTAGATAAAATGGGAATATTCAACGAACAAAATTTTGATCATCCTTTTGCAAAAGGAATTCAGGGTGCTCCAGGAGTTGGATTTAGTCTAACCGCAGATGGAAATTATGATATGAATAAAAAAAGACTCACAAATGTTGGTGCACCCAGTGCTAATACTGATGCTGCTACAAAGAAGTATGTTGATGACAATTCTAGTGGTTCACCCTCGACATCACGATTAACAGTTGATTCAAACATCGATATGAAGGGCCAATATCGTATTCTTCGCCTCAAACACCCGGTTGACGCAGATGAGCCAGCCACAAAACAATACGCAGACAGCACATTTCTCGACAGAAATGGTTCATATACAATGATTGGAAATTTGAGTATGAATAATAATAAAATTATCAAACTTGGCACACCAACAGCCAATGATGATGCAGCAACCAAAAAGTATGTAGATGATAAACCAGTAACATCTTCAAGGCTAACAATCAATTCTAACATTAATATGGGAGATCAATACCGAATTACAAATCTTAGCACACCACTGGATGGAAAAGAACCTTCTACAAAAGATTACGTAGACAACACATTTCTTGATAGAGATGGATCTTACCCAATGAAAGGTAATATCAATATGGCTAATAATCGAATATTTAACCTACCAGCCCCAAATGGAAGTAATCAACCAACACCATTAGCTTTTACAGATTTAAAGTATGTTGCCCGTGATGGTTCATCTACAATGACTAATAATTTAAACATGGATAATAAAAAAATAGTTAACCTTAGACCACCAACATCAGACACTGACGGCGCAAACAAAAAGTATGTGGATGACTCAATACCTGATACTAGTTCTTTTATAAAAAAAGATGGAAGTGTATCAATGACTAATAACCTAAATCTTGGAAACAAAAAAATAGTTGGTCTCGCAACTCCAACATCAAACACAGACGCCGCAACCAAAAAGTATGTGGATGATAACACAGGTGCTCCAGATTTAAGCGATTACTTAGAAAAAGATGGTACCGTTGCTATGACTGGGAACCTTAATCTTGGTAATAATAAAATAATAAATCTTAGTAAACCAACCCAAGACAATGACGCGGTAAATAAAGATTACGCTGACAAACTGGTTCATCATACAGCAGTACAACCAAGTCATTACAACGACCAGTTTGCTTATCTCATGTCAAGTGCGGCTCAATGGACTGATGAAATAACTAGCGGAACCAGTTTTGTTATAAAAAAAATAGGAGATTTAGCACCAAACCAAGGAAACTTTCACGATTATAACCACAAAGTTATTTATTTAGGTATAAACAAAAATACCCAAGGTGGATATAAGTACAAAATGGGAATCAACTTTTACAGGTTAACTGCGAATACCGATTACACTCTGTGCTTGGAAATACTCAACACTGAATACGCTCTATGGCATAAGTCTCAAATAAGTGTGGACAAAGGAACTTCAACAGGATTATCAATTGGAAATGTTAGTATAAGGAAACTATCTCATAGGTACACGCAATCAAATGGGCAACAACAATTTATGTATTACCATAGAATAATAGTTAATTTCCAGAAGTTGTCAACTGGTAATAAGTTCTTTCTTCATTTTTTAGTTGATATACCACAAACTGGAACTGACTTGTCTACTTATCCGAGACAGTTTTCAGGTGTTTATATAATTACTTATGGTATTGTGGGAACATTTAGCAATATAGATCCAGATAAAGTTTATGATTATCACACCGCATTTGATATCAAACCAACACAAGTGGTTTACAATGTTGATATAAATGCAAATAATAAAAAAATATTAAATGTTAATCTTGATAGAAATAATGATAATAGCGCAGCAACAGTTGGAATGGTAAAGGAAATAAAACCTCACACTATAAACGATTTATACAGAAGTTATTTCGAAGACGTTTATGATTTTACTAACGCCTCTAATTACAAATTGAGTAGAACCTCATCAGGTATTGTTTTCAGATATTTATCTTCAAGTAGTGGTAATACTTTAAGAGATATGGGAATACCTCTTAGAACCATAGACGATATAAAAAAAGAAGGTCTAAATCTTAACGATTATAATATTAGTTTTTCTCCTCCTGATTTTATTACAAAATATACTTTATGTTTAATATTTTATCATTGGAGAAATAGAAATTTTAGTTTAAAAAAAAAAGATACAAATAGCAATACTACTTTATTAGATTTATACTATACTACTTCAGGTAACACAGTAAATTTAGTTGTTAATAATCAAAGAAGACAATTAACCTTGCCAAGTGATTTTAATGGAAAAAAAATTGTTATATGGTTAGCAGAAGATTTTAGCCAAAATATTACAAAAGTTAAAATAAGTAACTACAGCGCAATATTAAGCATACAAGCCGTTAGATACACCAACGAACAAGAGTTTGAGTTTACAACTCAAGATGGAATTTTAAGTAAAATAATGATTTCTCCAAACTTTTACGACACTAGTTCTGAGCAATATCATAAAGTTATGCTACAGGAAAAGTTAAATGGAAGTTATGTTTTATAGGGGGAACCTACGGTTCCCCCTTATGACCCCCCTCCCTTGTGGGGGGACCTTGTCCCCCCAAAACCCCCCTGCTGCTACGCCGCATAATATACGCAAAGAATAAAATGAAAGATCAAATGAAAGATATCTTTGAGTTTAATCACATTGATAAATCTCTGTCAAAATCAGATATTGAAACTCTAAAAGATTTTTACAGGCATTATCACAAAAAATATTGGTGTTTTAAAAATTGTTATAAGAGTTATAAATTTCTTGATAATGTTTTAACTATAACTGGGATAAGCCTTGTAACTATAGGAACAATTGCCGGAGGAATAACTCTTAATCCTGTTGTCTTAGGAGTTATAAATGGTGCTGGCATTATTGTTGCGGGTATTGGAAAGAAAGAAAATGCCCAGAGAAAAATTGAAATGTCAAAGATCGCCTATACGACTTATGAAAAGGTATTGGTAGAACTGAGATCAGCTCTTAGAGGAGATGAATGGGATAAACAAGAGTTTGTTGATAGGATGAAACTGATAGATGAAATGATAATTGATCAAACTCCTTTATCGGATAGATTTGTTAGTAATTATAACAAGAAGTTTATAATAAGGGGAACCTACGGACAAGCCCTTCGGGCACCCCTCAACACCCCTCCCTCTCTAGATAAATGGAAAAAACAGCCTTTCCTCCAACTAATTGGGAAAACTACGGATAAGGGGGGTTTTGGGGGGGGTGCCCGAAGGGCTTGCCAAGGTCCCCCCATAAATAATCTAAGCAAGTAATAAATGGAGGAGTTGAGAAATTTAAAAAAAAGTTTTATAAAAAATTTTGAAACTACTTTATCTTCTGTTGGAAAAGAGTTGGTAAAGGAAATGGAAGTTAAGTATACAATCGACGACCAAATTTGTCTTGATTATGCGATGAGCCTTTGCCATAAGATTTCCAAAATGGAGGGAGTTAGCGCAGAAGATGAGAAAAAGTGTCAAGAATTTATAAAAATTTTTTACTATCTAGACGAAATAAAGTCGCTGAATTAGAAGCTAATTTCAATACCAAAAAAAATATTGAAATCTAATTCAGATATTTGAAAGTATATTTTTGACCGTTTATTTTTGAAGTTGCTGTTTTATAAATGCCCGAGCAAATCATACTAACTCGTAAACGAATCTATGAGATGAATAATTTTTGTACTTGTTTTTTTCCAAATATATTGTAAAATTTAAATAACCATTTTGGTTAAAATAGCCTTTTCTTGGTTTTCTCAGTTTGATATTCATAATTTCACCGTCTTCATTCGCAGCATATTTTTTATAGACTGGATGAATAAAAAATTTTTTGCCGTTTTCCAAAATAAATTTTTCCATTTTTTTTATTTTTAGAAACTATTTCTTTAAGTTACAAAATTTATTTTTTTTATCCAAGCATAATATAAAAATGTTGAAGGAGATTGTGGCATACGTTAACTTCAGATTTCCAGCTGCAAAAACACAATTTTATAACGACAACTTTATTAAAGCTTGTCTTGTTTATGAGTATTTATATGCAAAATATTTCAACCAAGTGATGGATTTGAATAAAATTATTTATAAACTATCAGGTTACAGACATTCTATTAGAACTAAATCTGTGGTTTTGTCTAACCATTTAATTTTCAATTTGGGTTTTAAAGCTTTTTGGAGCCACTTCAAACTTGGAAGAGGCTGTGTTTATGTTTTTGACTCTGGTTTTCAAGAAAATGAAGTTATCGGATACTTAACAGGAATTTTGTATTGGGTTTTCCATGGGGGGGTTGATTAATTTTATAATACTACTATTATAAAATTTAAAGCAGGGGGGCTTTGGGGGGATGCAATCCCCCCACTCTTAATTCAAGATAACTTTCCCACCATCTGTCGTAATATTCTTTTGTTTGAGATGAAATATTAAGTTGGATTTTGTTTTTTAACCCCATTTCCTCCAAAATTCTATTTATGATATAAAAGATGTTGATCATTCTCTTACGGCTAAACTTTTTATTTACATCTTTCATAACTTTCTCATCTATTCCCATTAACTTTCTGTATAACCCATCCTTTTCCTCTCCTGTCAAATTTGGAATCTGTTTTATCTTTTTCTCGTAATAGTATTTTCGTTGGTATATGCTTTTCTTCCTGAAATATAATCTGTCGTAATCTTTTGAATCAAAGTAACCTAATACGTGCCCATTTGTTGATCCACATTCTTCACAAATCTTGTAACCTTGATATATCGCGAAATTTTCACTGTTTTCACAATTTGAACATGCGGGTGGGGGGAGTGCCTCCCCCCAAAACCCCCCTGCTGGGGAGGATTGCATTTTTGATTCATCTGAGATATTTTTGGTGTAGTTGTGTAATATTTCCAAATATTTTTTTATTTGATCTTCTGAGTAACTCATTTATTTTTTAGTTTTTTAATTTTTAATTCGGCCTTATTGCTTTTGTATCAACTTTGTTGATTTGTACCAATCTTTTGTCATCTTCACAACTCAGAGCTATTTTATTAACCTCTTTGGAATATATATCGTGGTACCTACTTTGTATTATTTTCATACTTCGCATTTGTTTATCCCCCGTGAATAAACAATCAAAATAATGCTCAAATGTAATTCCTTTTGAAACCACAGACTTTTTTATTCCCTTACACTTTTTAACATTTTTACCCTCTTCTATTTTAAAGCTATAAAGCTTTGGGCGAAGACCTATAAAATGTGTGATTTGCTTTCCTGCAACTTCATCCTTGAACATTCCAATTACTTTTTTGTTTAACCCTGTTGGAATTCCAGATGGATGGGATTGAGGGTAATCTGATGTATCAAACTTGGTTTCCACATCGTTTGATATATATTTATAGAAATCTTCTGTTTGTATCCGGTACATGAGGCTATCAGTATCTGTAAAAAGTAACTCCGCTTTTGTATCGTATTTTTCTTTTATATAATTGTAGTGAAAATCAAACATTAATGTTTTGGATAAGTCTAAGATTGCTTGGCCTACGTATACCGGTTTGTTAAAATAGACCTCTGTTTTTTTCATATGGGCTGCAATAAGATTTTTATCGAAAATCGTAACTCTTTCAAAGTTAGGCTTTTTTGAAAGTTTGAGAGCTGTTTTACGATTATCAACCAGTTTTATGTTTTGTCTTTTTCTAATGTTTTCTATTGTCTTTCCAAAAACTGAGTTATTCATAAGTTTGAAAAAGTCTTTCTCAAAACTGTTGGATGCTGTTTTTCTTAGTTCTGTGTTCTTTCTTATATAGGGCTCCATCCAGGGGGATTGCTCAAAGGATATTCCCCTATGAACAGCAGTTATCCTCATTCCCATTTCAAGATATTGTCTAAGATTTCGATAATGGACAACGTAATTTTTTCTTGGTTTAAAATGGCTAATTAGTTTTTCAACCCCATTAACATTCATCTTTTCAGGTGCAAGAGGATAGTCATTATGTGTTTCCCATAGTTTTTTAGGATATTCCAAATCAACTTCAAAGACGTAGCCTTTTTTTCCTCGATTTGTTTTTTCTAGGATTTCCATGAGTTTGTCTTTTGTTAGGTTAGTCATCCATTTGAATCCATTTGTTGGAAGTGGTTGAGACATCGCCCAACCATAAAGATTATTAGCATCGAGGTATTGAATAAATGTAGACGGTTTTTGGGGGTCGTAATTTTTCATATATTTGTTATTAGCCTCTGCATATCTCTTTGATATATGAGTTATTCCACCGCGAATACCTTTTTCAATCATCATAAGCATATCATAATCATGTAGTAACTGTAATTCCTGCCCTGTTTCTTTGAGACAAGCATCCCAAGCTAAACCTGGAGATGTGTAATAATGAGCTGTATCAAGGTTGTAATGTTTTAGACAAGTTTTCCTGAAATTCTCAAACACATCGGCTAATAGTAACACATCGGATTTTAGGTAAAGATCGTGATAATCTTTGACTGTTTTGCAATTAAAAGTATTCCACACGTTTATTGCGTGTTGGTAATCATCTTCGGATATGTCTTCGTCATTTAGTTTCGAATAAAATTCTTCTTTTGGAGGTAATTGTGTTTCGGACATTTTTTCAAGCGATGAAACATAATCATAAGGATAAACTCCCTTCCGAGTGAGTAGATCTACATTCTTTTTGAACTCCCGTTTGGTATTATGAAAATCATCTGGTTGTAAATTTGAAACAAGTTTAGCAAGAGATGTTTGAAGAAACTTAAACGAATCTATGAAACGAATTTCAAAATAAATGGGCATCATTTTACCAAATTTTATAGACCTGTACTCATCTACTTTAATCTTTTTAGAAAAGGATATGTATTTTTCCTCTGTTGAAGGAATACATTTTAAATCTCCTGGTAAACTTGTAAGTTGTTTTATAAACAAATGAGCATCATACCCTTGAAGATTATGAAATATAACTGGAAGAATCAAAGGTTTTCTACATTGAAGATTACAACTGTTATGAGCAGCACCTCTATACTGGCCCGTAAAGTGACAATGATCTCTAACTTTATCTTTGAATAATTCTTTTTTACAAATATGACAAAATTTCGCTTTATCAAATAATTTTTGTTCGTCTTGGGTAAGTTTAAGAGGTTTTCGTCTGCGATAAAAATCATTATAAATACCTCTAGTTGCTTCTGAGAGTTTTTCTACAAATATTTTTGCTATATCTTCATCATCTTCTTTTTTAGTATATGTGATTGTTTTTATTCTTTTATCAACCACTCCTTTAATAAAAATACAAAATCCTGATGGCTCGTGTTTTTGGTAATTATAATTATAAGAATCTTCTGGATTAGGACAACAAGTATTCATTGGTTTAGTAAAGCACTCAAAATCCGCATAAGCTACAAAAGGAATAGGAAGTTGTTTGCGATGATTTTTGAAATTTAAAATCGATCCTGATTCTGGCATTTCCACATAAACTGACTCGTTATTCGAACAGTAAAAGATATGTTTTTGTAATAATGAATCTTTTGTAAAACCAGTAAAACATCTCTTACAAATATGAATTGGCTCATTTGTTCTACTTGTGATTTGTGACCGAAAAAGACGAGAAAAGTTTTTAATCAGAGAATAATGATATTTTCCATTCTCTTCATAAAGAAATAAATCTATTGATTTTTGAGGATCACGTAACGCCATCCGGAGAGGATAAAACTTTTTGACGGAAGTAACTGAAAATACATTTATACCTGGTAAATCTGGATTAATAGTTTCAAATTTGGTAATGTCTCTAATTTTAACCGGAAAAGTAAATCCCTTTGGAATTTTAATCTCATGCTCATATTGTTCTAAATCTTTCAAACGACTTTCATTATTTTCTCTTGGATGAAGATAACGAAGTATGGACCACAAAAAACATTTAGAATCTTTATTTCGAATACTAACAATTGCTTTTTTTCTCATAATCCAATCTGGAAGAGGAATATAAGAAGAACCTTTCAAAGGATTAAATTCAACAGTGTGAATTTCAAGTTGAATAACTTCTTTAAAATACCACCCACTACCATTTTGTTGATAAATATTAATCTTTTCTGTGATGTTACAGATAATTTTTCCAAGCAAATCTTTTATATCGGTTGATTTGAGATTAATATAAGTATCTGAATGAAAATATGCTTTATCCCGAACTTCAAATCTTAGTTTTTGGTCGCCTTCCATTTTTTCCATCATGCAAACCAAAACAAATTTTACTTTAATATTTCGATAATTTCTAAGAAAATTTTTAATAATAGTTTTTTTATTTTCAAAAAAATGCAAAGGAGTAATACCAGGTTCTCCCTTTATTATATATTTTTTAGCAAAATCTTCTAAAGCTGATTTTTCTTTTTCAAGTCCTTGATTATGCTCCTTAATAGCTCTCTCAAGAGCCTTACGAAAATAAGGAGGAGTATCTCCTGGAATTTTTTTGTTTTTAATGCATTCTTGAAAATACTCATCAAACGATTTTATCTTTTTGGGTTTTGATTTCTTTTGATTTTTATTTTTCCATTCTTTTTTGATATTAACACCTTTTTTTATTTTTTCATTGAGTTTATCTACTTTTCTAATATCACGAATTATTTTTTCTTTTTCAGCTAATTCTTTATAATTTTCCCTTATTAATTTTTTTTTCTGGTTGTATATTTTTTTTAATTCTGCCAAAGATAAACTCTTGTAATCTTTATCAGTTATAAGCGATTTTTCAGCCATTTCCTTTATAATCTTAATATATTAATTTCTTAAAATCAATTTTATTTTTCTGAATCACTTTTGGGGGACATGGGGGATATGGGAGATTTGGGTTATTTTGGGTTATTTGAGTCATTTGGGGGACTTGGGGGGATATGGGTTATTTGGGTCATTTGGGGGACTTGACGGTAGCAATGAGGGAAATAATTGAAAAATGACGGAAATAAGTTCCAAGTGAGTGAGTGAGAAAGCAGCATTTTATAACTACTAAATTTGTGATATAATAGGCTATTTTTTAAATCTATTAAGGCTATTTTTTGCTAGCATTGAAAAAAAAAAGCCATTTAAGCGCGCGCGTGATGGCGCGTACTGTCCAATTACTTAGGCATGACGCGTACTGTCCTATCAAACTGTCCAATTAAGGCTGAAATCAGGGCAGTTGATAGCCAATCAGATTTGAGAATTTTGTTATAGTTATGATTAGTTTGGTAAGAGAACAAAACATGCTTTTCATTTGTTACTATAATTGAGTATATTTACTTACCATTCCTTTTAAGTTTGGAATGGTAATCAGCTTCCTGAACACGTCAATCAACCAATGGGCGTTCACAACGACTGTGTTGGTGTGCTTCACAATTACTCCCAAGTCATGGTAAAAATTCATCATGAGGTTGAACTCGTCTTCGTCAGTTACAAAGCACTTGTCCCTGGCAATGGCTTGAATTTGTTCAACTTCCAAATAGTGTACATTTCGCTCTTTCAAAGCACTGATGACCTTCTCAAAGTTAAGCCACCTAGATTATAATTACATGACTTTTATTAGGTACATTACTGACAGTAGATTTGGACTCACAGAAATATTTAAAACAGCAAGACTGAACTGCCGGCACCTATAGTAATCAATGCAACTGTCAAAGCCCTTATACCATTATAATGCAAACGTATTTCTTTGACTAAGCCTATAACGCTCAAATGGGGTCAGTTCTTCACATATATAGTTTTAATTTTCTCACGAATGACTGTTCCAGGGATACCATTGCACCTGACTCGTTCCCAGTCGTCCCCCATTATCTAAGAGAGAAGCGCGAGAGAAGGGGAGCCGATTATCATTATAAGATAGATTCGGCCAAGGTAAAACAGTACTCGCAAATTCTCTACGTTTATGGTATGATCCACCTAGAGAAACGTAAACAGTGGTTACATTTTATCTTGAAAACACCTCAATTTAGGAAAGTGTGCAAACTCACCGAATGGGTCTTACTTCCCCCATGTAAGGCTCTTTATTTAACACTTCAACCATGCGATTCTTAAGCTCGACAAACCTCTCATCAGACGATCCCCTTTCATTATCAACTGAGAAGCAATCAATCACGTGATTTTTTAATGACTTTTCCAGGTTTGAAATTTCTTTATCAATCTGAGATAACATTTCATCGACGTTTTCACATGGTGTGTCAGCATGTGTTCCCACGATAAACACAGGGGGGCGATAGTATGGATCGTTTCTCGCTTTTTCCTCATCCATTTCTTCTGATGAACGCAAGGAACAGATTGATACTAGCCACGATAACAAATTTTCGATATTTGTTTCTTGATTGGGGTTTTTGAGTTTAATGTCTTGATCACCTTGTCTGACACAGGGCTGGGCAATCTCCTTTAAACCTTTGTTTAGATTGTAGACCAGCATGTATACTGCACGCTGTGATAGAAACGTTGTATGCGAAGCATAGTAAAGATCTTGTCCGGCAAAGTCCCACAAATCCAAAGTAATGTGACTTTCCCCCGTGTTAGCATCGGTTAACAGATCTAAATCCTTCAAATACTGCTCAAGAAGGGACATGAACTCATCTGGAGGCACAGCAGGGTCAAACAGTAATTCGGGAATTTCGGGCTTTTTACGTGCACTTTTATCGCCACCACTCTCGAGAGCTTCTTTAGTCTTCACGGTTTCTGCCTCCATATCAGGGCCCTTACAAACAAGAGATATCCGTTAAAGTAAATTGCAACAAGTACCAAAGATAAAATAAGACCCCTGCGCCCCTTTTGAAAGCCAGAATAGCATTCGTCAAAAAATAAATATGAAAATAGGTACCGTATTACTGCAACTGGAAATTTGGGTTAAAATGAACCTAACTTTGGTCTTCTTTTTCTTTTTCTTTCTTTCTTTCGTTTTTTTTTTTTTTTGTGGGGGGGGGGGGGGAATGGGCCCTCAAAACGGATCTAATACTACCAAACAATGTTGGACGACGTCGGACCAACATCCTTCCCTCAAAGGTTTTTCCTGATTTGTTAAAAACGGTCTAAGCCAGCACCTTTTCTTTTCGTGCCTGACTATTATCCCTGAGACACATTTCGGCACACTTCGATGATAATCGTTTGAAAAGGTTATGAAATGGGAGTAAGCCATCTTTTAATCAATGTGAGGTTTTCCCACCCTTTTTTTTTTTGCAAAAAATCTATAAATCGTTGTTAATCATTTGTTGTAAAGCCATTATTCTTTTCACTGAGTAATGACAGGTGTGACTGCCTGTTAACAGTAGATAGTTCAACCTCGTCTGGGGACGAGGTTGTAGATAGTTTCCTGTGTAGGCTGTTCCAGGCGTTCAGAAAGTAGAGCGCGGGAGAAAATTTCACGAAGAAAAAAAAAACGAGGGGAGACTTACCGCCGCGCTCTACTATCTGAACGCCTGGAACAGGCTATTTCCTGTGCGGATAAATTTTTTCAACACAAAAAATGTCACCATACAAGTTTTGGTTTAGATGTGTCAAAGACAATTCCAAATTTGTCTGCTAGAGCGCATAGGCCTTTACTTAGTTTCTTAAACTCTTTCCCATAAAACTGAATTTTCGTTAAAATCATAGGGAACCTCTTATTAGTAAGCTGCGAATGGAAATTAAATAAGAGATAAAATCTTAACTGTTTTGTTTTATCCTCGAATCTGTTGTGGTGCCAAGTGAAATGGAAGTTGTTTTACGATGCAAAAAAAATGTTCAGTTCGACGCTTCGGGTTGATTTCACAATGCTTTATGTGGCCCTTATTTGGATGTATATGCAATCTAACTTGAAACAATCTCAGAACCAAGCAGAAAAGCTCAAGAAACTTTCAGACGTCAAACGCAAAGTCAACTTCCGGTTCAGTCAAGTGGAGGCGTTCATAAATGACCATTTTTAATACGAAGATTTTTATTTTAAATAGAAAAAAGTGGCCCACCGTACATTTTATCCCTTAAACTGTTGTTGGAATGAATTTCGTGAAAAAAACCGCCCGTAAAACTTGAGTACGGCTTGAAAATAAATCGGTCATCAAATTAGTTTCGTCCCTTGTCTCTTTTCTCTTACTCTAATTCAAACTGTTAATAAATTAACAATCAACGAAGAAACGCGAGACGATAATAACAACCGGCGCTTGCAACCAACAGTGAAATGCGAGCCAAACCACATAGAGCATTGTGAAATCAACAACTGTCAAAGCGTGCGAATTTAACATCGTTTTCGCATCGTAAAACAACTTCCATTTCACTTCGCACCACAGCAGATTCGAGGATAAAACAGGTAAGATTTTATCTCTTATTTAATTTCCATTTGCAGTTTACTAATAAGAGCGTGGGTTCCCTATGTGGTCCTATGTTAAAATCCCAAATGGCGGACATTTTAGTGACGTCATAGGTACCCAGCAGCGCCAAACATGTATATAATAAAACTTGCATCATCTTCTAGAGGTCATCACAGGCTGTCCTGTCTGTGAAACGTTAATTTTTCATATTTTAATTTTCATTAACATATTGAAAAATTTAAAGTAGCACAAATCCAAAGGTGGGTTATCAACCCCAAGCCCTCTTCGTGGGTGAGTTAGCGTGGAGTGATGAATTTCCCTTTATACTCACTGATATGCACACATTTCGTTCTACAGACCTCATCTTTTGGCACATCCCGTAGATGGTGTTTTGTGTCTTCTTCTTCTTCTTCTTCTTCTTCTTCTTCTCCTCCTTCTCCTTGTTCTTCTTGTTCTTCTTCTTTTTTCAATTGTACAGCCGCTTTTTTTGCGAGAACGTTTAAGTGCTGAGATAAACCAAACGTTTCATCAGTAACTCTCCAGTTCTTCACTTGATCGCCTTCATAGTCAAATTCCAAACAGTCAACGTCAATTCCATCGGTACTACACTGAGTTGGACTAAATGGCAGACCTTGGAAGGACTTCTTCAAACTCGTCTTTCCCGCTCGATCCTGACCAACAAACATGATTCGACCGCGGTACACCTTTACTTCACCATTTTTCAAAGCATTCTCGAATGCACGAACGGCCCTGGGTCCTTGTGCTGTAATCTCACTTGGAATTTGACTCTAGTGAATAGATTCAATAGAAAACTCATTTTCAGTTTATATCATACTTTAGCTTGTTAAGCTGTTTTCAATATTATACCAGGAGCCCATGGGCTCCTGATTATACTTATTCAATTGTGACCTCTGACAACGCCGTGCTTTAATCTCACTTGGAATTTGACTTTGCTTGAATAGATTAAGTTCAAACAGAAAAATCATTTTCAGTTCACATTATATTAGCTTTTTAAGCTGTTTGAATTATTATGCTTATTCAACTGTGATCTCTGACAACGCCGTTCCCAAGGCCGTAGTTACTAAACCGAGGAACCAAACTAGGTCTAGTATAGGCTAAGGGTTCCGGGATCCCAGCTGAACATCCCAAACCAAAAATTCCTAAAGGGGGAGGGTACTACCATATATGGGCTATATAGCTATGTGCCGCTGTGAAGGGTATGATTTTCAAGCAGTTTACTCTAGGATAGGGTATATAAATCAGAGCATTTGAGTCTAGAATAGGGTATCATTTTTCAGGAAACTGATCAGTTGGTTGAAGATTTTATCTAGACTAGGTCAACAGCTACTCTAGGATGGGGGGAATTGGGGAGTTTACTCTAGTATAGGGTAGCAAAATTCAGCTGAACTAGCTCTGGTATAGGTTAAGGGTTCCAGGGTCCCAGCGGCACATCCCCACCCAGAACACGTCCTAAAGTACCCCCCGGGCTCAGAACGACCCCAAACGACTTAAAACAAGTCCGCCCTCCTAGGAACGTCGGGTAAGATTGATTTCAACATCTAAACTTTTAAGAACAGGAGCGAAGGATGACCTGTATGATCTTTTAGGAAATAAAGTGCTGACAGGCCTAACCACGACTCATAAGCTCGTTATAGTGTGAAGCGTGACCTTAGAGTTTACCTAGCTGAAAGCGAACAGAGGTTTTCCTAAATCTTTATTTTTCCTATCGGGTAGATTATAAGGTGCATGAAGATTCTAAACTTTGACTTGCCGCTACTCTTACTACAGAAGTCAAGTAGCTGGTCTGTTTCAGGTATATTGATTAACTATTTCTTGTGAAAATTTACGGCAAGTGACTGTTAGCACTATAAAACAGAGGCTGATAGTGGAGCGAGAACTATCTCCTTTTCTCATGATCCTATGGTAACTGAAAGTTGTTGGATTACTGTGTATGACGTTTTAAAAGAGAGATCGAATTAAAGAAACACTCTCTGTTCAATTCACGGACTGCGTTTAGCTGTGCGTTCGGAGCGTAAAAGTGGAAGCAGTCGATAAAGGTTGTCATTAACGCATCACCGGTACACCAAACGTGCTGTGTAAGGAAGAGGGGCCTCTATTCCCAACTAAGCCGTTGAAAACATGATAAGCTCACGTAGATACCAGGGTAACCACGTTAAGATCGGAGGAGAAATAACAGCCCGTGACCATAGCAGAATGACATAGAAAGCAGATAAAGAAATGAGAGCTGGCTGTCGATATTACACGGTTATTGTTCCGTGATTCAAAATGCTTTCAATCCGGGAAGCTTCATAATGTTTTTTGGTTTTCGCAGGAATCGTCAAACGAACATCTCTTTGTTCAAAGGCATAAAAACATGTTGAAGCGGTAAAAGATTTAGCAGTTATTCTAACAAAAGGAAATTCTTTTTCGTATTGTAAACGCTTATACCAGCGTTCAACAGATGACTTCATCTCGGATAAATGACAGGCGGTAGTAGTATAGGAGGGACCGAATTAACCTCTTTTTTGGGGGGAATCTCATTAAGGTGGGGGGGAATACATTAACTAGTGACGTCATAGGCTATTTTCTTGATCTCATGAATAAAATTCTGTGGTATCTCATTAACTTGCGGTGGAATCTCATTAAGTATATCCAGTTTGACGGGTTTATCAATGATGTCATGTTCTATATTTATCTTGTGGCGGTCATGGTTGGTATAACCGGTTTGACAGGTTTTAGTTATTTTCGGAAGATGATGTCATATGTATTCCGGGGTACTATGATGTCATAGTTGTTTTGATAGGTTGACCGGAATTAGAAAGACGCTCATTGGCTGTCCCGTTTGACGAAGCATTCTGGTTGGTTGCCGTATTTTTTATTGTTTGAACGGCATAAAAGCCTGCTCACTACCTTCCCGCATACTAATTTGGATTTCCCGCATACTAATTAAGTGTCTTCCTCCATATATAATGAAGTGGATAGGAAGTTACGGATGTTTGTACATAGGAAATTAGTTTGTAAATAAATCATTGGTCGAATTTAATCGTGGCTTGTTTCCTGACTCGACGCGCACGGCTTACACGCCAGAGCTCCACGCGCGCCCAGGGGAAAAAACACAGGGCTAAAAAGGTGCCCTTTCTGCCCTTTATGCCCGATCTGCCCTTGAAATAAAAGCGGGCTCTCCGTTCAGCATTTTATTATTGTCACAAACTCCAGTAAATAATATTTTTGACAAATTTAACAATTACTGCGCTTTTCACAAAAACGCGAACTCTAAAATTCAAAAGCCGCCTTCACTATTGCGTTTTTCGCTGCCGTCAATCATAATTACTATCACAAGCAATGAACCTTGAAACACAGAAACACACAAAACGGATCGAAATCCACCAATCATAGATCACAAACCTTGACCTTTTGAACCCGTTTAAGCAAAGTTCTGTCTCCTAAGAGGCCCGTTAAGATGATTGACGGCAGGGAAAAACGCAAATGTCAGTTGGTTTTTGAACTTCAGACTTCGCGTGGTTATGAAAAGCGCAGTAATGAATGAGGCCAATTATCTTATGGAGAATTATGGAGATCGAGCAGGGTGTTATCCGTCGAGGATAACACCCTTCCCGATCTCCATAATTCTTCATATGATACGAAAGCCGAATTCAATAATTGTTTTATTATTCATTCAAAATAATTCCCAGTTTAAAAACATGGGTAAAACATGCTTACCTCCATCGATCCATCGATGTTAAGTTCATTTTCGATAGTGCACGTTTAGGGTTGTTCAGCTCCGCAAATATTCTCAAAACAGCAAATGTGGCCCTTCGAGTTGTCTTCTTGCTGTTCTTGTCATGTTTTTAGCTATAATTTCGCCTAGTTCTTACTCTTGAAATGAGTGAAACCTCCGCCATTTTTGTTTTGACAACCAAAACAACTCAACCTCGTCCCCAGGTCTTCTCGGTTAACGGTGCATTAACCTGCAAGAAAGCTGCACTTTTGACGTTATCGGTTCGTTAAACGCAAAATTCTTCCAAATTTGGTCATCAGTACCTGGTTGTGGTGAATTATGCGTGTGCTTTTAGCCAATCAGAATTGGGGAAATATTTTGAATGAATAATAATAAGCCATTTCCGAGTTCCCCCGGGTCTCTGTTTCAAAACGAGGGAGGGCGCTCAGCCTTTGATATGGAAGTCATTTTTCATTCTCATGTAAATAAACCTCATTTTCACAAGACAGGTTATGCAACCAGCCTCATTTTGAAAGTGAGGGTTTTTGGAACTTGGAAGTGGCCTATTGTATTTAATGACTCTTATAATTATTTTTAATCCATGTTTTTTATGGTTATCGAGACAGTGTCCAGTCACCTTGGACCTCTCTTAACGAAGATTCCTGGAGTTACCCCTGTAGACTGGAGGCTCGCGGGAGCCTGGGGAAAGGAGAAATACGTTCTCATCAAAGACCCTGTCTAGAGTTTTTGAATGATGAGTGTTGTTGAAATGTTCCTTCCCTTTTATGCGGTTATTCATTGGGGAACAGGACTTTATATAATGGCTAAAGAATCTGGCTAAATTGAGTGACAACACGCCTACTTTTTACAGTACTCACCAAAGAAGGCCTTGCATCAATGCAGAACTTATCTGCTAAATCCCGGTGATTTACACGTGGCTGGCATAAGGCATCATGCAAGACCTGGTAGGTTGCACCGGAGCCTTTTCTTGATTTCCATTCGATCAACATCAAGTAAACCTTTTCATTAACATTTTCCTTCTCTTTATCGAATGCCTCTATTTCTGCTTCCATAAAATGAAGTCGTCGAGCTAGGGATCTCCAGTTTTCAATTTTGAATGACAACAATTTTAACTCGTCGTTAACCACTACACCATGTTTGATTCTTTGTACACCTAAAAAACAAAAACAAAGATAAATAGTCTCGTTCCTCCTTTAGTCTTTTCATCCATCTATCCATTTTACAGGTGTTTCGAATTGAACCATATTCCTATGTTTTTAGTGTTGTTGAAGTTAATTTTCCCCTCTCCGTTTTCACCCATTTTGTGGTGATTTTTTTTTATGCCTTGTTTTTCCTGTCAGAAATTTCACCTTTGATTGGCAATGCATCCTTTGCGGCTAAATAGCATGGGGATGTGGACAAATTAAGTACCTCAGAAACAAAACGCGATTACATCATTTAAAAAGCTAATTTCCTTTTCGTTTAAAGTTGATGTTACACGAGACGATTCGCGACGACGATTTTTGCCCGGCGCAATACAGCGTTGCAATGTTGGAACAATGTCGAAGCAATTCGAAAAACCGTCGCAACAATTTTGCAACATTGTGTTGCACTAAAAATCCTGGCTTCAAATCGTCTCGTGTAACATCACTTAAGATCCCACTGCACTGTTTGCACTCCAGCAAGGCGTTCTGGTACCCTCGGACGTACATGTACAAGGAGGGCTGGGAGGGGGAGGTAATGCATCCACACAAGAAGAGGGTTTACCCTCTTTTTTCGTAAAACTTTAATAGCTTTTATATCTATATATAGTTTTTTAGCTGGCATCAATTTTCTTTAGTAGCTGCTCACTTATTTTGTACAAACTTCGTCTTAGCCGTTTGTTACTGTTGAAAAAAATAGAACGTTAGTCGCCAGCTCCTTTGAAGCTAACTCAGAGCAACTCTGAGTTATCAAAGAGCAGCTCAGAGCAACAATGAGTAAACAGTGAGTACTTTTGAGCTCTGTGAAAAGCTCATGACCAGTCAATTGTATTCAGTTGAGTGCGGAGTTAATGTTGTGGATAGTCAAGTGTGGGTGGCTTGTGTAGACTCTGGGTTGATGTGACAATTACTTATCCCTTGAATGCAGGCAAAGGTTCACAATACATGCTTAACCCCACACGCTAGCGACTTTGTAGAAAAACAACATTGTTTTCTGTGACCAATTAGGAGAGACCTTCCGAGCTGCTCCTACACTACCCGGAAGAGTTACTGCCTTTCTCGAAGACATTCCGACCTTGACACGCAACCACGCACGATTTCCACGCCATCTGATCACGTGACACCCCTCCACGCGCGATCCCACGTGCCACGGGCTCACTCACTCAGGTTCAACTGCCCTCGAACGAACGACCCTAATCTGCATAAGAAACGATTCTCATTTGCACAGAAAATTTGGCTACCGCCTGTATATCCTACTAACATCCTTTAATTTCCGCGCACTTTTCATTTTAAAACAGCTTCGCGTTTCGACTTTCGAGCCACGTTTGCAATGGGATCAATAGTGAGATCAACTTTTCTTTTCACGACTGTGGAAATGGAAGACAACAAATGCAGTCACCGCTCAGTCGAAAACCAAACCGGCCGGTAGAAGGAAAAGAAGAAAGACACTTCGGCGGCAAAGGGCTTCTACTGAGCCAACAATTAACATAGAGAGAGGATATAATTTTAACCACGATGCAACATCGGCAAATAATTTATGATTTTAATCTTATGTAGGCTGACTCTACTACTGTGAGAAAACATGAAGCGCTCCACTTAGCTAAAATGAATGGTGGAAACGTTCTTTTTCATTTGTTGTTATTGTCAAATACCTATCGAAAATGTCTTTTTAAAAAGACATTTCTTTCCGCTGCTTCCTAAATATTCTTATGTTGTGTCGTTGTTCGTTGAGATTCCTTTTCACCCTTCACTTTCTCCGCTGTTTTGAACTTGGCCATGGACAAAAATCAAAACAACAAGAAAAGAACGCTGCATCGAGTCGCTAACTAAAAACAATCCCGATTATTCATTCGCCAGCCATGGAAATTCCCGCGAAAAACACTATAGGGCTACCAATCAAATGAATAACTTTTACTTCCGCTACAAACGAAAAACCGTGATTTCTCCGCCAATACTTACTATTTTCCACTTTTACATGTGTAAAGGTCACACTAAAACCATTACTATAACGAGCCAAAAATCAACATTTTAATAAAATTTTTCATCTGAAGTTATCCGGTTAACATTCAGATCTTTTGAAAGAAATCGCATGGTACAAATTAAAAAGAGAAAAAAGAAAAAGCGCGTAAAAATAAATAAAAAGAGGTTATTCTTAATGCAAGAAAAATTTCCTGACATTTTTTTTTATTTTATCAGTTTATTTACGTGTTCTTCAAAACGCAAGTTAAAAAATTCTTCGTCTGAAAATATGCAATCTTTTGTCATGTTAATTTAACAACATAATTCTCAGCCTGATTCTCAGCTGGAACTTCCATCAAGCACAACAGAGTTAAATTCAAAATGTCCATTAACTTCTCAATCAACAATTGCTGCGAATACGCAATTGCTGGAAGACAATGGAAAGTTTACAATGATTATCATTAACCTTCTTATTCCCATCACTCTAACCGGTCGGTCCGAAAAAAAACCCGTTCGATCGAGATAAGCTTTAACACTTTCTTACTCATTTATATCCTCTCCTATCTGAGAAATTTTGAACAGTCGTCTTTCCCTTCTCGGTCGCGTTTGTGGGGAGGAGCGTTGCGTGACGACCCTAAAAACGGCTGTGTAGGAGACTAGTTTCTCCAATGCTAAGTCATGCATTATTAGGCAATTTCAAAACTAACTTATTATTGTGAAACATACATAGATATAGCCAAGTCATAATCTACTTGAAACAAAATTTAGATTTGTTTAATAATGTTAACTATCTGTAGTGTCCTGCAACCATGAATCCTCGTTGGACGCTACTGGAGACAAGTTTAGCTTAGCCGTTTTGGAGAACTAGAGAAAATAGCAGAGAATTTAGAAAATTTTACACGTTTTTCAAAGAAATAGACGCACTACTGTCAATAAACATAGCAAGAACAGCAAAAATAACATGAAGATGACATGAAGAATATCTGCTAGACGCACAACATTCTTTTATAATCTTAATTTGCTGAGAAAAAAGCAAATGAAGACAGCAACTTTACAGCAATCGTGGTAAGCACGTTTCTAAAGTACGAATTGTATTTTGAATGAACAATAAGTTTGTTATTATGTAACAGGGATAAAAAAAACTAGGGCATAGACCAAACGTCGATTTTTTCATGAGACAAACCAAACTTGGTGACTTAAGTTTATGAAAATTTCGACCTCTGGCTCAGTTAAGTTCGTCCTGCTTCAGACATCTGAAGATTGTCTCCGAGACAAATGTCGATCTTCACATGCGACGAACTAAACTATAAATATATCAAAAATAGGCCATTTGCACGATGACGTCATTTTACCACTAAGACCAGACTCCTTCAGGGCTTTGTTTCCTTCTGAAAATTAAGGCTTTTGTTCTTTAAACCTCGCTGGGATGACCAAATTTAAATATGAAAGGAAAAACGAAAAGGATTCTGGTCCTAGTAATAAAATGACGCAATCGTGCAAATGGATAATTTTGTATGGTAATGTATATTTAGCCTCGTTCGGGAGAAAATTTATTACTGAACACCCGCTGGCCAGCTGATATTGCTTTTCAGTCTAATTCAATTTATTTCGACGCGTCCTAACCAACAGACGATCTACACTTATTTAGGTCGATCCAAATAAGAGTTTGGTTCGTCTCATGAAAAGTTCGACGTTTGGCCTTGGCCTAAGCCTTTTGCTAGCATGTTCCAGTAGCGGATCGAGAAAGCTAGCACGGGAGGGAACCGGTCGTCGCGCCCTTTAATTTTCCAGGATCAGGCACGTGTTATTTTCTGACGTGCTTCGATTCTCGCGCAACCTCTTCCCCAGGGCGTTTTTCTAGGAAACAGGTAGAGGGGTCTGGGGGTGAGATTAGTTTTCCCGACGTCCCTTACCTTCGTAACGTTAAAAATAATATATCAGTAGTTCCTCTAGCAACCTTTGTGGCTTGCCTGGTGTTAGGAAAGGGATCACCAAATACATGGTTCCCCTCCACTGAGCGAGGTTCAACTTTCACGTCTACGCGTGACCTTCCATAAATTGTCTCTATTTTATAAACGCGCGTACGCACGTAAAAATTACGCGACAGTGGAAATTCACCTAAAGAGCCTGGAACAGGCAGGCGTTTGGTCAATTACCTCTATCCTCAGTTTGAGAAAAGCTTCCACGCGATGAGGAAGGGCCGATCTGCAGCTGCAAGAGAACATAACTTCAAGAACTCAAAAATATTAACTAAGATTTTTTTTACAATTTCCTTACATACCTTTGAGGCCTGTTCCTCATCGGAAACTGTAGATTAGTTTCGCTCCTACGGCGCAAAATCTATCCGGTTAGGTTCCGGTATAGTGTGAACAAAGCCCTCTACTGCCCTCTTTTCTAGTAATAAAATTCTAGATAGCCTTGAAGGATAATTTTTGACCGATAATCTTTAACTAACAGTAATGGATGTATGGGTAAACAAGCACAATAATATAATGTTTTGGTCACTCATTTAGTTAAAAATCAGGGCCTTACTATAAACATGATTCCAATTTTTTTGTTTTAAAAATTTACTTTTTAGTGAGCTGAAACGAGGCTTTCAAGTTAGATTTTCATCAATTACAGTGCCCACAATAATCCATATTTTCATGGTTATTGAGATTGACTGCCTTGACGGCGTGTTCACTTTGGATCCCCCTTAACGAAAATTCCTGGATTTACCCCTGTAAACTGGAGGTTCGCGGGAGCCTGGGGTAAGTAGAAAAATGTTCCCATCAAAGAGCCTGTCTAGAGTTTCTGAATGATAAGTGTTGTTGAAATGTTCCTTCCCTTTTATGCGGTTATTCATTGGCGAACAGGACTTATATAACCAATGGCTAAAGAATTGGGCTAAATTGAGTGACAACACGGCTACTTAAAGTACTCACCAAAGAAGAGCTCGCAGCAATGCAGAACTTATATGCTAAATCACGGCGATTTACGAATGGATGACATAAGGCATGATACAAAACCCTGTAGGTTGCACGGCGGCCTTCTATGTGTTTCCATTCCATCAACATCGAGTAAACCTTTTCATTAACATTTTCCTTCTCGTAATCGAGTGCCTGTATCTTTGCTTCCACAATATTAAGTCGTCGAGCTAGGGCTCTCCAGTCTTCAATTTTGAATGACAACAATTTTAACTCGTCGTTAACCACTACATCATCTTTGATTCTTTCTACACCTAAAAAACAAAAACAAAGATAAATAGTCTCGTTCCTCCTTTAGTCTTTTCATCCATCTATCCATTTTACAGGTGTTTCGAATTGAACCATATTCCTATGTTTTTAGTGTTGTTGAAGTTAATTTTCCCCTCTCCGTTTTCACCCATTTTGTGGTGATTTTTTTTTATTCCTTGTTTTTCCTGTCAGAAATTTCACCTTTGATTGGCAATGCATCCTTTGCGGCTAAATAGCATGGGGATGTGGACAAATTAAGTACCTCAGAAACAAAACGCGATTACATCATTTAAAAAGCTAATTTCCTTTTCGTTTAAAGTTGATGTTACACGAGACGATTCGCGACGACGATTTTTACCCGGCGCAATACAGCGTTGCAATGTTGGAACAACGTCGTAGCAATTCGAAAAACCGTCGCAACAATTTTGCAACATTGTGTTGCACTAAAAATCCTGGCTTCAAATCGTCTCGTGTAACATCACTTAAGATCCCACTGCACTGTTTGCACTCCCGCAAGGCGTTCTGGTACCCTCGGACGTACATGTACAAGGAGGGCTGGGAGGGGGAGGTAATGCATCCACACAAGAAGAGGGTTTACCCTCTTTTTTCGTAAAACTTTAATAGCTTTTATATCTATATATAGTTTTTTAGCTAGCATCAATTTTCTTTAGTAGCTGCTCACTTATTTTGTACAAACTTCGTCTTAGCCGTTTGTTACTGTTGAAAAAAATAGAACGTTAGTCGCCAGCTCCTTTGAAGCTAACTCAGAGCAACTCTGAGTTATCAAAGAGCAGCTCAGAGCAACAATGAGTAAACAGTGAGTACTTTTGAGCTCTGTGAAAAGCTCATGACCAGTCAATTGTATTCAGTTGAGTGCGGAGTTAATGTTGTGGTTAGTCAAGTGTGGGTGGCTTGTGTAGACTCTGGGTTGATGTGACAATTACTTATCCCTTGAATGCAGGCAAAGGTTCTCAATACATGTTTAACCTCACACGCTAGCGACTTTGTAGAAAAACAACATTGTTTTCTGTGACCAATTAGGAGAGACCTTCCGAGCTGCTCCTACACTACTCGGAAGAGTTCCTGCCTTTCCCGAAGACATTCCGACCTTGACACGCAACCACGCACGATTTCCACGCCATCTGATCACGTGACACCCCTCCACGCGCGATCCCACGTGCCACGGGCTCACTCACTCAGGTTCAACTGCCCTCGAACGAACGACCCTAATCTGCATAAGAAACGATTCTCATTTGCACAGAAAATTTGGCTACCGCCTGTATATCCTACTAACATCCTTTAATTTCCGCGCACTTTTCATTTTAAAACAGCTTCGCGTTTCGACTTTCGAGCCACGTTTGCAATGGGATCAATAGTGAGATCAACTTTTCTTTTCACGACTGTGGAAATGGAAGACCACAAATGCACTCACCGCTCAGTCGAAAACCAAACCGGCCGGTAGAAGGAAAAGAAGAAAGACACTTCGGCGGCAAAGGGCTTCTACTGAGCCAACAATTAACATAGAGAGAGGATATAATTTTAACCACGATGCAACAACGGCAAATAATTTATGATTTTAATTTTATGTAGGCTGACTCTACTACTGTGAGAAAACATGAAGCGCTCCACTTAGCTAAAATGAATGGTGGAAACGTTCTTTTTCATTTGTTGTTATTGTCAAATACCTATCGAAAATGTCTTTTTAAAAAGACATTTCTTTCCGCTGCTTCCTAAATATTCTTACGTTGTGTCGTTGTTCGTTGAGATTCCTTTTCACCCTTCACTTTCTCCGCTGTTTTGAACTTGGCCATGGACAAAAATCAAAATAACAAGAAAAGAACGCTGCGTCGAGTCGCTAACTAAAAACATTCCGATTATTCATTCGCCAGCCATGGAAATTCCCGCGAAAAACACTATAGGGCTACCAATCAAATGAATAACTTTTACTTCCGCTACAAACGAAAAACCGTGATTTCTCCGCCAATACTTACTATTTTCCACTTTTACATGTGTAAAGGTCACACTAAAACCATTACTATAATGAGCCAAAAATCAACATTTTAATAAAATTTTTCATCTGAAGTTATCCGGTTAACATTCAGATCTTTTGAAAGAAATCGCATGGTACAAATTAAAAAGAGAAAAAAAGAAAAAGCGCGTAAAAATAAATAAAAAGAGGTTATCCTTAATGCAAGAAAAATTTCCGGACATTTTTTTTATTTTATCAGTTTATTTACGTGTTCTTCAAAACGCAAGTTAAAAAATTCTTTGTCTGAAAATATGCAATCTTTTGTCATGTTAATTTAACAACATAATTCTCAGCCTGATTCTCAGCTGGAACTTCCATCAAGCACAACAGAGTTAAATTCAAAATGTCCATTAACTTATCAATCAACAATTGCTGCGAATACGCAATTGCTGGAAGACAATAGAAAGTTTACAATGATTATCATTAACCTTCTTATTCCCATCACTCTAACTGGTCGGTCCGAAAAAAAACCCGTTCGATAGAGATAAGCTTTAACACTTTCTTACTCATTTATATCCTCTCCTATCTGAGAAATTTTGAACAATCGTCTTTCCCTTCTCGGTCGCGTTTGTGGGGAGGAGCGTTGCGTGACGACACTAAAAACGGCTGTGTAGGAGACTAGTTTCTCCAATGCTAAGTCATGCATTATTAGGCAATTTCAAAACTAACTTATTATTGTAAAACATACATAGATATGGCCAAGTCATAATCTACTTGAAACAAAATTTAGATTTGCTTAATAATGTTAACTATCTGTAGTGTCCTGCAACCAGGAATCCTCGTTGGACGCTACTGGAGACAAGGTTAGCTTAGCCGTTTTGGTAGAACTAGAGAAACTAGCAGAGAATTTAGAAAATTTTACACGTTTTTCAAAGAAATAGACGCGCTACTGTCAATCAGCAAAAATAATATGAAGATGACATGAAAAATATCTGCTAGACATTCTTTTATAATCTGAATTTGCTGAGAAAAAAGCAAATGAAGACAGCAACTTAACAGCAATCGTGGTAAACATGTTTCTAAAGTACGAATTATATTTTGAATGAACAATAAGTTTATTATTATGTAACAGGGATAAATAAAACTAGGGCATAGGCGAAACGTCGATTTTTTCATGAGACGAACAAACTTGGTGAGTTAAGTGTATGAAAATTTCGACTTCTGGCTCAGTTAAGTTCGTCTATCCGTCTGCTTCAGACGTCTGAAGATCGTCTCCGAGACAAATTAATGTCGATCTTCATATGCGACGAACTAAACTATAAATATATCAAAAATAGGCCATTTGCACGATGACGTAATTTTACCACTAAGACCAGAATCCTTCAGGGCTTTGCGTCCTTCTGAAAATTAGGGCTTTTGTTCTTTAAACCTCGCTGGGATGACCACATTTAAATATGAAAGGAAAAACGAAAAGGATTCTGGTCGTGGTAATAAAATGACGAACCAAGAACGAGAAGTCCAAAGACTACTGCAAAGCTGATTTAAAACAACGAGTATTGTTTTTTATAACAATATTTCGGCTGGCCATACCAGCCTTCTTCAGGTTTACAGATGTTACTGAACTTATGTAGCAATCACAATATTATATATGGAGAATGTTGCAATAAAAATTGTTTAAAAGGGAGAGGCGCAAATGACGTACAACACAAAAACTGGAAAGGAAAAATACTAAAGAGATGGATTACAATAATTCGTCACGGCGGTTTAGGCCAAGGGCTTCAAGGGTCATGGCTTTATCTATCAAATGCGACTCCCTGGCCTTACGAACTGAGCCACGTGAAGAATGAATTTTCTCTAGTGGGATTAACTGCATGTCAGTATGAGAATGGTTAGAGTGAGAAAGGAAGTGTTCAGAAACAGTAGTGGGTTTAGATTTAATGTTAGTTTTGTCGACTGCACGTCTGTGTTCGTTAAATCGATCTGTCCTTGAGACGTCGCTTAGTTTCACCTATATATTGTAAATTACAGCGGTTACATTGAACCATGTAGATCACGTTTTTAGTGTTACAAGTAATGTGTGAAGTGATTGAGCGTGTTTCACCTGTCGCGTAAAAGGTATAACGTGTGAGGCTGTTAGTAATATATGGACAAGTGGCATAATTTTGTCCACAGCGGAAGGAGCCTGGCGGAAAATGATTATTGGAGATAACGGGTAATTGTGCTTCAACTAAAATGTCACGAAGATTAGGGCTACGTCTGTAAGCAACAAAAGGAGGTTGCTTAAAGAAGTCTTTGCAACGGTTAGAAGAGTGTAAGATGTTAAAATGTTTACGTAGGATATTAGAAATGCGTGGAAGTGCTGGGTTATATGTGACAACAAATGGTACAACATCGTTAGAAGCTTTAGGTTTAGTCTGTAACGCGTTAGTACGAGAAATATTTGCAGCGCGTAGGAACTGTTCTTCTAGGAAATTATAATTATAACCACGAGCAAGGAGATATGTTTTAACTTCATTAATGCGATGTTTAAACTTAGCCTCTGTAGAGCAGATACGGCGGACGCGGAGGGCTAAGCTGAAAGGAATGGCTTTCTTAGTGTGGTGAGGATGGCATGATGAACTGAGAAGGTGCTGTGTGAATTAAAATGACGCCATCGTGCACATGGCCTTTTTGTTTGATAATGTATACTTAGCCTCGTTAGGAAGAAATTTATTACTGAACACCCGCAGGCCAGCTAAAATTGCTTTTAGGTCTGATTCAGTTTATTGGTTCGACGTGTCTTAACCAACAGACGATCTACACTTAATTTAGGTCGATCCAAATTAGAGTTTGGTTCGTCTCATGAAAAGTTCGACGTTTGGGCTAGGCCTAAACCTTTTGCTAGCATGTTCCAGCAGCGGATCGAGAAAGCTAGTGCGGGAGGGACCCGGTTATCACGCCCTTTAATTTTCCAGGATCAGGCGCGTCTTATTATCCGACGTGCTTCTATTCTCGCGCAACTTCTTCCCCAGGGCATTTTTCTAGGAAACTGGTAGAGGGGTCTAAGGATGAGATTAGTTCTAGCAACGTCCCTTCTACCTAAGAGCCTGGACCAGGCAATTTCAAGCTTTTGGTCAATTACCTGGTAGATCCTCAGGTTGAAGAAAACTTCCACGCGATGAGGTAGGACCAATCTTCTGCAAGAGAACAAAACTTCAAGAGCTTAAAAATATCAAGATTTCTCAAAATTTCCTTATATACCTGCTCTAAGTCCTGGTCCTCATCGGGAACTGTCACATTTTTAGATTGGTTCGTTTCGTTGCTCTTTTTTTTTCCCTCCGCTTAGAATGGTTATAACTCCAAGCTGCACTTCTTGGATGAGCAAATCAGACACGAAAGAATCTTGTTTTCTTTTTTTCTCTTGATCAAATTTAAAGTTCTATCTGTTAACGTGCGTTGTCTTGTTGAAAGTGAAAATCGAAATCATG